TTTCTTGGATACAATGCGCGCTCGTAGTAATTGTATTTTGAACCCTCCCCTTCCCTTTCGCACTCTCTCCTCCCCCTTCCCACGGCTTTGAAACCAGAAGCAAGCGACAGCCAAACGCAACAAATTCTGTATGCACTGCTGCTGTTGCAAGCCAGCAACAAAACAAAACATCAAAGGCACGCGGCGTGCTCACGTAAGCTATTTATGCAGTGCGAATCCTTGCCCTTCGTGTATACGAATTTACAACGAGAGAATAAGCGTAAAAAAAATACATGTACATGCTGCGAGTTTTTTATTCACACACCGCCGCCAGCACAACAAAAAGAAAGGCAGTTTTATAGCTTTAGATTTGCATGTAGTTTGAAACAAGCAAATATGTGTTACATTTATTACATAAAATACTACGGTAGAAGCCAGGCATTTTAATCTTGATACTTGCAAGCTGAAATGATATTGAAGAAAAGTCGGAGAAAGCTCTTCCAATGAATTTACTCAGTAATAAACAATGACGAAGAGGGTACTACCGAAAACTAAAGAAAAAACCCAGAGAACGCACCTTCCTCCATGAAAGCACGTGTACATTAATTTGCAAAAAAAAAGAAAGAAAAAAAATAAGAGTGACAAGCGCGATGACGACGTGCACACCGAGTCACAGAGCACACTTACACAATGCAATTTTATATGCGCTACGTGCACGAATGTAGGTATGTATACATATATAAATACAGCAGCTCTCTCTCTCTCTCTCTCGAGTGATGCGTATGCATATATGCATTTTCGTGCGCGCTCGTCCCGTCTCTATCTATCTTTTTTTTCCCATCCTCATACATTTACACACATATGCAATTTATATATATATGTGTGTACGAAAGCGTAGCGCCTAAGCGAAACGCATATCCGGTTGGCGTGCTCTTGGCAGGAGCGATAGTAGCTCGAAAGCTTTCCTCCGTACACATCTACGTGCATGTTATATATGTATGTATATGTCGATGTAAACTATACATATATATATATAGAGTTATTTATCGAATGAATGAGTAGACGCGCGTGTTGTTGTTGGCCCACCCATCTCCGTAAGTTGTGTGTCTATTAAGTAAACATCTATATAGGTTCCCCTTGGTACCATAAAACAATTTTTAAATAAGCTCGCTGAACATTTTTAGGCATACTTACTCTATCGTATTTAATTTCTTTGATTCGCAGACACAGACAATTTTTTTCTTTTCTTCGTGCTTTACTATATGTTTACTTTTCATCCATCCGAAATTGACTAACATTCATTGTTATAGCATTCATACTTCGCGTTCCTCTGTCCTCGCTATAACATCCTTCTCTGTGTACATATGCGACAAAGGTATCATCTTCGGACACGTGCATTTCCATATTTTACTTTTCGAAAGGAAAAAAGTTCTGTTTAACACAGCGCAAATGTGACAAAGTGCGCGTAGAAAATGCTCATATGCGCGTGCTATGTGATCGCGCAAAAGGAAGCTAGCGTACGCCTCAACTAGGATCCGAAACGGTTAAATGGCCGATTTGATTGCGGAAAAAGGGTAAAGGATCGTTTGGCCAGGGACCACGCCAGGGAATCGTATAAGTCAGTGTGCGAAATTCCGTATTTGACGGCTAAACCCGCAATTTATGATCCTTTTCATTACATTAAATTTCAACAAAAGTTGATTCAATTTTTTTTATGTTTATCAAAAGTGATGCAGTCAATAATTTAATTAAGTAGCACATGACGAGTATAATCAGAAGCAGTCCTAAAAATATTATTTCGCAAGTTAATTGATGGTTTTATTTTTAATGTTCATTTCTTAACTATCACAAGTAATTTTAATGTAGTAGCTTGTTTGCATCGATAATACATCATTAATTGAAGCAGCCAGTAGCAAGTGAAGCTAGGTAATTGTAGACTAATGTCCATATAGCACAGAGTACCGTACACTAACATTCCCCTCCACCTTCCCCCAAGTAATGTCATATAAACCTCCAGCCATATCCAGCTAATAAAAGCATGCGAGCAAATCCGCTAAAAAGGCAATAAATTGAACAAAAGACAAACAAAACAAAGAGACCACCTCTCACGAACGAAAAAACGCATACCTACCTTCGTGTGTGAGCGCCCGAACCGCATGATTGACTAAAAGAAAACACATTTAAAACACCAAATGAAGCAAGCATTCAGGAGAGAACTGAGCTCGCCTCTGTGTTATTGTTGAATGAATCGCAGACGCCCCGGCACTACGTGGTGCGCGACTACCCGGGTGTGAGATCGGCCCAGGAGCAGTACAGCTACTCGTACACAAACACCTCGGACACGTCGAGCAGCAGCCGCGACCCTTACGGTCGCCCGCAACGCTCGAGCTACACCAGTGAGAGCACTGTCAAACGTGAGAGCGGCCCGTACGGCAATTACAGCACCGAGCGCAGCTCAAGGACATCAACCGGCGGTGGCGGACCTGGTGGTTATCATTCGTCCTACGAGACTCATACCAGCGGCAGACTTCCTGGTGGCACTACTTACCGTCACTTCTCCTACCGCATTTAATCTCGGAAACAACAACCAAACCCACTACTTGCAAACCCTTGTTTACCGTAGAATGCAAAACCACGCAAAAAAATGTATTATGTATGATGTTGATTAACCACCATTTATAGTAACTCTTTTTCTTGATGTTTCTCGATCCAACGTTTAGAAATGCCAAAATAATCTAAAATCAATAACTCAACTTTTGTCTCTGCGCGAGAGTAGTTTGTTCGGTCGGTCGACGCCGTAAGAAGCGTAAGAAGTTACGCGAAATTTAAGATTGTCTGGGTAAAGAAAATAAAAAATAGCTGTCATTTGCGATCGGACTACAAGGGAATAATCATAGAAAATAGCCTCATGCCTAGCGCGTCGCCTCAGAGATCAAAGTGACGTCCTATCATTCACGATTGAGGATCGGATTCATAGAGTTAGACAAAGTCACGCTTTTCCGCAATGAATATAACAGCTTACTCGCGGGTGCATAGCTCAAATTCCTTTAGGCCAAACTTTCCCTTTGACTCGCGCGAAATACCCTATCCCTGCCCGAATATTTATCTCTTCTTCGAGTTTATTTACCCGAAATAAGAGCTCGCCTCTCTCTCTCTCTCTCTCTCTCTCTCTCTCTGTCTCTCTCTTTCTCTTTCTCTTCCGCGCATAGTTTAGCATAGCATTTCATTTTTTTTTGTTTATTTATGTAAGTTCGGCATTTCTATTTGCACTTTACTCTTCTACGCGTTCGCCTTGTTTTTTTTTATTTTGTGCATTCATTTTTTTGTAAACAACAAATACTTTATCCTTGGCTCGTTTATTCGCAATGTTGCAATATGCTGCTGTGCTAATTTTGCATTAGACGCGACATCGACGAGCTTGAACTTCGTAATATGTCGGTAATGAAGCGAAAATGAGAGGGGAATTTTCGCCACGCGGCCGTTTAACTTGCAGAGCTTCGATGTATTGTATGCGCTTTAGACGATTAACGAGGCGACAAGCCGTATAATTAACGACCGCGATAACGCATGCGTGTAGTCCCGCGCGTCAATGTTCATCTTGTTGTTTTGCGTCGAAGCCTTGCCAAGACTTTGTGCGATACAGATACATACACGCACCGACAACAATATATTTTATAAACACGCACTGTACAGCAGAGAGCTTTTTATGTATGGTCTTTTCACGTTGGAAAATATATAAATGTATCTCGTATAAAAAATCGTCATTCATTTGTAGTCCACGATCCATTCTCCAAAATCATTTTCCCCACTCTATCGTGTGCCTCTCTCTCTCTCTTTCTCTCTCTCTCTCTCTCTCTCTCTCGCTCCGTATGCTATGTCAATTTACCATTTCTACTTTACGGAGAATCACTTTTAAATATTTGATTAAAAACTATTGCAGAGCTTTGTTTTCATTCCATTATTAAATACAGCATATCGGGGTAGATGTTTAATTAATAATATATAAATAAATGTGTACATGAAATAACAAAATGCATCGTTGATATTGTTACGAATATATGTGCTTCATAAATTTTTGGCAAAAAAAATACAAGATTACCTCATGAGGCGCTGCACTAAAGTCGACTTGTGCTCTGTTTGTACAAAGTCCATTAATCCTCAGCGAAATAAATCCGGAAATGAAAATACTTTGGAAGAGAGTTTCGTAATTACAAGGCGGTAGAAGTTGAGAGAGTTCGGAGTAGGGCCGGTTTGACAAAAAACCAAAAATTCTAATTACATGCACATAAGTACGGAGCATTAATTGAAATTTCACAGTGACTCTGATCTTGGATTAAAACTTTTGCACCAGCAAAGCGGGATAAAAAGAAAGAAATGAACAGAGAAGGCTACTACTGCAAAGGCCCGAGTAAGCGGCTGGAAAATCACCCTCTTTTATCTCTCGTTGCAGTCAAGAGAAAGAATGCGCCGAGCCAGAAAATCACTAACAGAAAATTAACTTGACTACGCACCTATATAGACGCGAGACACACAACGGGGAAATTGGCCAGCCGCGGTTTATTATTAGAGAGCTCCTCCAAAAGAGAAAACTCTCTCCCTGCCGAAAGACGCCCAGCCGAAAAAGCGCGCTTTCTGCACGCTGCTATTTCTGCTATAAAAAGCCAACGCACACGCGAATGAAATAATACGACGTGAATAAAAACGCACGCGCACGCATACGCACACGCACACACACACACACACACAAATGCATGCCCAGCCAATCATTCTCTCTTATTCATCGCCACGTCATCAGCGAGCCCAGAGACATGTTCATCATACTCGCTTCAAATCAGAAAAATATTTATTTATTTGTATGAATTGACAGTCCCAGAGGTCGTATAATTATTGTTTGTATGTATTGTTCTTTTGGCATCCGATATTGTGCGTGCTTGCCCAACTACCAACTCCCCGACGTCGTCGATGGGTACCTGAACGACTGTATTATTACGTTTTGCAACTATAAAAAAATAAAACAAAAGCCCATTCTACAAGGCCCATTCTACTTATATGATCCCGTTCGTGTATTCGTGAGTACTATGTTGATTGTTGAATAACTTAGAATCACAAGTGAAATAAGTCTCATTGTTTAGTTCTGTAATTTTTATTTAATTTTAAGGCCGAACATTAAAATTTTTATTTTTCACTCATGTGATGTTATCCAAGCCATTATCGTTTTATAGGCTATTCTTTGTTTATTTTTTCTTTGCACAATTTCCAAATATCACAAATAAAATATCTCACATATAGGAGCTTATTTCATTCAGATACTGAGCTGTTCACTCTCGAATAGCATTCCCTTTCCACAATCTCAATTTTCTACTAATTCATTAAAAGGCAAAACGTATAACTCACTTTTAACAAAAAATTCGCTGTACCAAAGCTTTTTCGTTATTATTCTACTTTTTTCTCTAGTGCAAAGAGGCTGCGTATTCTGCTGATGCTGCTGCTGCTTTTTTGAATTTTTTCCTTCTTTACGCGATCCTCGCGTGGCAAGCTTGATTTAAAAAAAAATGCTTAGAGAGCCACAAACGACATAATGAAAAGATATACGTCGAGCTGATGCCGAAGGAATCGCGAAGGAGAAAAAGATATCGCATTAAAATTTTGCAAACTGCGCGTTTCATTTAATTAAATTCCAGAATTCATTAGCCTTTCTTATTAAGTTCACTACGAATCAAAGTAATCTTACTTGCGAAGCTATCAAGACTACGAGCGTTGTTAACAAGTAGTAATAAAACTGCTTTAGAATTTTTGCGCCGAGTCTATATAATTCATTCAACAGAAAACCTTGAAAGAACAAAGATATGAATTAACGTTTGTAGCTCGGACTTGGCAAAATAGTCGTTAGGTCTCTATTTATAGACTCTTTCGGTCACTCGGTAGTAATGAACGAGAGAGCCATTCACGCTGTTTATTTCATAATCGTTTGCCATCGTGCGAGCAATTAATAGTTTATTGCTGAAATTGCTCAATTCCTTAAAATTAACTTTTCACGTTGGACATTGCACAATTGGCAAAATGTATCAAGTTTCAGAAAGTATGATATCACAGATTTGTCGCCGCCACACAAGTGTTATTTATAGAATTTCTAGGAGCTTATAACTATCTAACAAAATAGCATTTTTTCTCTCGGCTAGTTCTTTCACTAGCTCATTAATTATTCCTAGTTTGCAAGAAAAAAAGATGAGAAGACAAGCTTAGTCGTTCGCGATTCCTCAAAGAGAAGCTCCAAGCTTAAAAGCAACCGAGGAAAAAAGCTCTCTTATCGGGCTCCGATCTCCATGCAAAAATATGGAGAGCCTTCTGCCACTGCAGTGCATAATCACTCTTCCGCTTTTCTGCTCACCCAATGAAAGAAAACAAAAGAATTGAGAGCGCACTAAAAAGAAGAAAGCATCACCGCCGAAATAGTTATACACAACGCGAATACGATATAAGTCCAATAAATCACGAATGGGAATGAACTTTTTTTATGATTAAATCAAATATAGAACGCGACTGCAGATATAGACGCTGAAAAAAAGAAAGCACACGAAAAAAAAATGTTTGTATGTAGGTGAGAACGATACCTCACATACCGTACGTGGGCCATAGGAAACTCGTTTCCATAGTACACACACCGGTGCGCATTTACCATGCTGGCACGTACCTGCCACTTAAGATACACTCGCGCGTCAGGCCCAGCATCATAGCGGCAGAGCTCAACAGGATACGCTACCTCACCAGACCCTCGTCAAAATCCTACCTCGAGGATTACCTGCAATCCAGGGATTACATTGTGAGTCGACATTCGTCGTTATTGTTTTTTGGTTTTTTGCTTTATTTGCACTGTGATTCTTTCACACGGCAAGCCTTCTTTTCTTTTCTTATTAGATCTCCGAGATAGGAGAACAAAAAATTAATTAAACTTTTAGAGTTGAGAATGAAAAAGCTTCTTTTGCTTAGTGCATTAGTTCGAGCGATTGAGATGGTAGTTGATTTCAATTAAATTAATTGCTTTTCAAGTAGAATCACGCTTTTTGCACAATTATTCTTGCTATTAATTTGTTGTATGAATAGCTCTCAAGATACGACGTTATTTTCAGAGATACTTAAAGTCTGTGTACTACAAGGTAATGTTTTTATATAAATTGGAAATCAATTAAAAACAGCAAAACACATTAATCAACAATTTTCGATAATCAACTTATAGTCCAATACACATACACACACTAAAATTTCATCGAAAATCCACATCATGTAGCTGTTAATCTGCCTTATCGAGAATGTATATAAAATTGTTATATAAAAATTACTATAAAACTATTGCATATTGCCAATTTCATTACTGCGCCCATGAATAATCATTTTTTAAGCAATTATATCATTTACATTTGAAAAATAAAATTTATCGAAAACATTGGAATTGTAATATGTGTGTAGTTTGCAAAAATTCATCGAGCTTCATATTACTGAATATTAATGAGAAAAAATTAAAGGCAAAATTATCTTTAGGACTTCGACGATGAGGCAAAAGATATCCGCGCCAGAACAGACAAACTTCTTCGCAAAGTTCACGTTTATGTACCCCGACCAACACTCAGGTAAACATCGTTTTTACGTCAATTTTACTTCTCAATAATCAGGTGTGCAACCCACTGTTATTCCGCAATAATGAACTCTTAATTTATTCAGACGCGTGATATTTAAGTAAATATTTTTAGTAACCATTGTAATGGACTTAAAAATCTGAAATAGAGCAAGCAAACGTCAGAGATCGTCTTCCAAAGGATTTTGTTAAGTCCATCTATTTTTGTACGTTTCCGGTCGACTAGAAATAAGCACGGTTATTATTGATGAGTGAGCTTTTGATCGAACGAAAACAAATACATGACTTCATTATTAAAACCATCACTGCTCCGAAACCGCTGTTCAGCTAAAGCAACTTATTATTGATTACTTAATGGACCATTAATCTGAAAGCACAAAGATCTATATTTATAACCAAGACTTCAAAAGAAAAAAAGATTATGATAAAATGCTCGTAAAAATGAACAAAATACTGATAACTTTTAGCGACTACGAAGGCGAAACCATCCCAGAACGTCTTCGCAGCGACGACTACGTGCGCCGTATAATAAACGCGAAGAACACGCGCAAAGAGATCGAGAGTTTGCCATGGTACTCGACTCCAGCTAAACGAGATATTGGACCTGGTCATCTTGCGTGCATCAAGTATGCTGGTGGTAGGCCCCAACCAAAACGTAAACCCTACTACACGGTAAGCGATCTTGTACCTGGTGATGTCAAGACCGACGTCAAGCTTATGAGCTACTACTCGAAGAATCGCAAGGCCGCCGAAGATGCTTGTGAGTATATGTTCCGAATTTTCTTTTTTTCTTCTTCTTCGCAACGCGCGGTTTATTTTTTACTCTCCTCACATCACTCCTTTTATCTTGATTCACCATCTATGATTGTTTAATGTTTTTTCTTCTTGGTCGTCGGAGTATCTCTGTTACACTTTCTACAAAGTTTTTTTTTTAATCTTGAGATTTGGCAGTTCTCTGCATTATTTGAGCATGAACTTACTTCGTTGTGGTTGTGATGTTGAGTGCTCTTTCTTTATTTTTAAAATTATAAAAATTTATTCAATGAAATAGGTTCACGCTAGTTTTCTTTTTACTAGCTCTCGTACACATATAAGTCTTAGATACAAAAAAGGCGGCCTTGAGACGTCGTCGTGTGATGCATTTTTTTTTTGTTTTTTGTTTTCTACGATATTTTTACTTTATTTTTCATTGTTTTTTACTCTATTACACATATTCCTATCTCACATGTTTATTTTTTGAAGAAATTTTTGTTTCCTTTTTGTTTCGTTGTTTTTTTTCCTTGTGTATGTGGCCAGTGTATTATTTTATAATTTTTTTTCTTTCTTTTTCTGTTATGTTTATCTTTGTTACTTTTCTGGCACTTGTCTTTAACAAATATTAAACTTCAAAGCAAAAGACATTAAAAATTAAATAAAAAGAGGAAAAAGCAAAATTTTGAATAGATCGAAAGAAAAAATAATCAATCGGACAGAAAAATGAAAAAAGCTGACCAAAGAGAGCACAATTGGCGGACACACTGGACATACGCAAGACAGTATCATATACAAAATTAAACAGAGAGCTAGAAAAGGTCGGGGCGCGCAGGCACAAATAAATGATGATAGAGAGAGCGTGGCTACGAGCACGACGGTTTTTTCTCCACGTTTCAGGCGGCAAGCCAATCTCCAAGCAAGCAACTGGTTGGAGAGTTCGCGTTCCCGAGCTGTACGAGGATCCCACTAAAGCAAAAAAATCTGGGGAAGAGGATACCGAGCAGGAGGACTGAGACCAAAAATATTTAACATCAATCGAACGTCACTTTTCAAACCCCGTCCGACCCCCCCCCCTTATCTCTCTTATTTAAAAAACCCCCACCTATAGTCCAGCCCAAAAAACTACCCATGAACGCGTACTAGCCACCATTCTTTCTTTACTCTTCACACTGACCAATTCATTTCTTTACTTTATTTTTTTCTCAGTTGCAAATAGACAATCTGTTGTTTATATTTTATTTTACGATTCTTGCGATTCTCACTGATAGATTTTCTTGTATAATATTTTTACATACAATAGGCATATGCATACGCACATTAGAAAAGTATGCATGAACATATAGGACAAAAGCTGACATTGATCACGACATACATTAAACAGAAATGTTTTATGAGCGATAGAAAATTTTGTTACACATAATACGACGACGTTACATATATATAAATAATCCACGTTATTACTTTCAATCATGAATTTCAACTAATTCATACTATAATTCTACAGTAGAGCTTGTTATTTTAATTTTCAACTGCGCGGACATACTTTTTACACAGAATCTTTGCTTGCATTAATTTGCCAACATTTGAATTTCATCTGTAAAATTATTATTTAAAGGGTGATGAAAAAAATTTCAAAACTAAGATCATCTTCACCGAACGAAACACATGAAACATTGTACACGACTCGGAACGAACACATTTAGGCAATTATACTAAAAGAAATAAACAAATATATTTTGAGATAATATTCTCTTGATCTTACTGTACATTCCCAGTAAATGTTATAAATCCTGTAAATATTCCTTATATAGATTTGAGGTAAGATTATTTAGTGCGTGATGCTTTAAACATCTAACGAGTACTTCCATCTCGAGTGCAAGAGGTAGAATACCATATATATATACTTAAAATTAAATATCTTTTCAAGATCATACAAAAAATTTATATTGAAAATAATTTATGTATGAAACATACAGTTTTTCTTTGCATAAAATCGAAGATAAAAAACATTTATAAATGAAGTGTTTATTAAAGATTATTAATTTTTGCTGTAAATATAAAGAACAATTTTCACTTTTATTCTCTTTCTGAATCTGTGTATTGTTTTTATAAAGATTGCAAATCGAAGTTACTCAGGCTCTGTTTTTCATTTTTTTAGTGAAATTACTTTTAAAATAATGTATACATTATAAAAAGTCTTTTCACGGTGAATAGCTTTTTTATTTATAGCACTCACATACCTTTATACTTAAAACTCTGCACTCGAGAGAGTTGAGCAAAGATTATATTCCCTATAACAAAAACAAAGTCCCAAATATATGTCAATGATTTCACAAAAAATTAAAGGACTCCGCTTAAAGATAGTTTCATTTTTATTTCAATAAAGGGCTAAATTGCTCTTTTTCTCGCTTGTCACATATGCCTCATTTACTTTTAAAATTCATTTACATGATCCACTCATAGTTTGTATACGAAACTCGTATATATATCACCGAACTTCCCCACCATTCTCGGCATACACGCCATCCTTTCCACACGCGACGAGAAACCAAAACTTCATCATGTCTACGTTTACATCGTAATTCAGTTAATATATATGCAAATGTTCGCAATGTCAGCATTCTTAACTTATATTCATCAAATTTAACCAGCTCTCACTGTCACGTCATTTAGCCGTTTGTGTATTTCGTATTTTTATTCCATAAAAAAGTACAAAAAGAAAATGATTACGTGAAGGTTGTACAAATTTAAAAAAAGTTGTAAATAAATATATAGAGTGCTACCTTCATAAATAAAATACTATATTTTTCGAAAAATATACCTTATTTTCTGATTTCAAAGCTTTCGTTTCAAAAAAATCTAATTTTCTTTCAATTTTACGTATTTAACTTGTTCGCTATACATTAACATCAACTGTGATAAACCAAGTTTTTATAGAAATTTATTTTTTACGCATTATTGTCTTAGCAAAAATACTATTTTAATGCTTTACTTAAAACAATAACAGAGCAACAATTTTCTTAAATAATTTTTTGTCATATTTTTTTAAATTTTGTCATAGTGCCAATATATGTTCTGCGTAGAGTACCCGCTAAAGAAAATTATAATGGTTAGTACCAAAAATTTTGCAATCGCATTTTCGAAAAGCTTCTATGCTTTCTGCTTCGATTATAAAAGATAATGATTCATTTAAAAGAAAACTTAAGAATAAATTATTTTGTCCACACAAATATATTAAAAATGAATGCAGTGCAAGTTGTTAATTACGTTTTCCCTGTGAACTGTTAATATTCCCAGTGTGCTTATGTGTTTAGCGCCTGCTCCTACCATAGTTGATTGGAATCATGAGGTCGAGCACGAAAAAAGTGAGTATTGTCTGCTATTTCAACTATAATATCAATACTTAAAAAGCTGACTTGTAAGAAGTAATATTTTCGTACTCGTTCAAATTAATCAAAAGCAATTATCTGCCGTGAAAGTATTTCAAAGTATAATGCAAGTATTGTTATCCTCAATAAAATGTATCAGAATATTCAGTACCCGCTTGCTTCCTTTTCTTAATGTACATGAGTGCAGCGACAATACAACGTTGTCGTATGTTGTTTATCTTCACATTTGTGTATAATGTTCGTAAACTAGAAACGTCCGAACAGCCGATACAACAAAGGAATGAGCACGTTGTAAAATCCAAAGTCAAACCCCAAGTTGAGGTCGATGTTGAAGTTGAAGTTGTGCAACCAGAGCCGGAAATTGAAACAGTTGAAGTGAAAATTCCCGCGAAGAAAAAGAAAGAAAAGAAAGTGACTATTGAGGAAAACAATGATGACGATATGGAGGCTCAGTACGACGAAGATGGCGGTATGTATTGATGTCCGGTTCGTTGTGTCAATATGGATACGTTTTATTCATATGATTCTACTCACCCCTTTTGTTTATCCATTTTTATTCTTTATGTTTCTCCTATATTTGTTATAATTTTATGATGTATCGTTTCTTTCAAGTTTTTCCATTTGTCATTTCATTCATATCATTTCATTTTCAATTATTCTATAAGATTCGGCACAATCAGAATACTGAAGGTTTTTCAAAAATATTTATTCTATATTTTTTAATGATTCAGATTTGTATAGAAAATTATAAATCTACAGAATTCATAAAAATCAAGTTATTCAAATGTTCTTTTTCATTTCAGTGAAGAAAGTTCCGGATGATGATACGATACAGAAAGTTCAAGAGTACCTGAATAAGAAGGCTGCTGAAAAAAAGTAATTAATCTTGTATGCTCATAATTACCATGCATGATTCACTTGAAATAAGCACGATGATTTTATCCTATGCTACTGCTTTCAGCATTTGCATTTAAAAAATAGGGTGTTATTTGGCTTTGAAAAATATTCATAAAATATGTAATTAGATTTTTGTACGTAATCGATCTTCTATTCCCGCTTGAAGTCTAGGTAGTTTAAATAACTACATTTTTTTTTAATTTTAACATCTACGTTATTAAATTTTTGAATAATTGGAAATAGTAATTTGCAAATATTTGAAAAACGCACAAAAAATGATAAATGCCAAACACTTAAATTATATGCTTGCAGACTGTGGATAAGTAAACAAACTTTAAGAGTGGTAAAATTACCTTTTATCTATTTTACCTTTGTATTCAATTACTTTTAATTAACCCTCTGCCTTAAGCTGGCTTGTTGACTCTCCCCTTTTCGATACGGAGCTTTTTATCCAGCTTCCTACTCGCACTTTAACACAAACACTGGAGAGTCTTAAACGTTTGCGAAGGAAGAAATTAGAAGCATACAGGTAATATATAATGTTAAGCTCCAATTTAAAACCTAAAATTCTTAATTAGTTGTAAAAACAGTAACAACTTTTGAACATTTTTTAATTATCCAATTATTGTCTTAAGATTACCTGCTAACACATTATATGTACCCTATGTTTCTATTGTTCGACAAATATCATTTGATGTATCTATCGTGTAGAAAAAATGGAGGTTTTCGAAAAAGTACAGAAATATTTAACAGGACGCATCAATATTGAGTACATGAAAAAAATCCGTAATGATTACCTGCAATTCCTTGCAATCCCTGGCATGCTTAATTACATCATTATGAAGTTGATTAATTTTAATTTGATCCGAAATTTTAATTACGAATAAACGATATGCTATATATCTGCATAGACTGGAGGAAGAGAAGCGAGCCTTTGAGGAGGCTGAACGTAAACGAATCGCGGCGGAGAAGGAGACAGCCAGACTAGCTGCTCTGATGGAAGAAGAAGCCAAGCGCAACGCCGAGATGATAGAGGCGGAAAAGCGAGAGCAGGAGAGGCAAGAGATTATAAGGAAAGCTGAGGAGGCTAGAGCTGAGGCTGAGAGACTCAAGGAAGACGAGAAGTAAGAATATAACCAAGCTTCTTTTTTAGCATCAGTTGCGCACAAATATTTTAGAGGTGTTTGAAGATGAAAAGCAGTTCATGCTCTTGTGTTAGCTTTAGTAAATTGTAAAATTAAAAAAAGTTTGTTCAGCCATAAATAAATGTATTGTAGAAAAGCGAACCTCACAGAACCTTTTGTACTATATTGTGGAATATGTAAATAACTGGTAAAAAATATTTTTGTAATAAGATAAAGAAATATGATAAAAAATTGTGTTTTCACATAGAAATAGTATAGCTGTGAATAATTGTAACATCAATTTCGTTTATATTGAACATCTTATCAGTAATGTAATAAAATATGTAACATGTCTACGTATAATGACAAAGTTTATAAGCTCTTGTAAACTTTTTGATAAGTGGATATACCAATTATTTGGGCTATGATTTCAGGTTAGTAAAGCCATATTTTGGTTTCTGTGGTTAAATGTCTGTATAGATTTTTTCTGTATTATTTTTACAGTGAAATATTTATTTTAGCACTTAAGTAACATCCAGTAATAATCATTGCACAACATAATTGTAGTCTGTTATGTACTGTCATAAATATGTTTATGAATTTTAAATGTTTAAAGAGCCACGTATGTATATAAATTATTGCATTACCTCGTATAATACTTCGTATAGCGTATAAATATACAAATTTATATCACAGATCATCTTCAAACATCAATAACTTATTTTAACGTGTAAAATTGGATGTATGATAAGAGAAATGTCGAAGTCGATAAGTCATAGGTGAAATCTACTGAGAATAATAATTACGTGAAAACTTCTAGATTATTCAATGAAGCTGTCGCACAGGCCATTCAAGACGAACTCGAACGTGTTGCCAAAGAAGACGAAGAAGCAAAATTAAGACAAGAAGAAGAGGAGAGAGAGGATAGTAAAATAGCAGAAGTTGAAGGTTCCAGTGATATTGTTGCCATTGAGCAACACTCTGAAGAACACTCAGATCATGCTAATTTGTCGGATCAAGAAATCGAGGCTAAACCTTACGAACTCGACCACGACGAAGATACTCAGGTATGAATTTATTCGATTGATTGCGAAATATTTTGATCCAACAATTTTTATAACAAAATTTGGGTTATTGAGAACCGTATAATTGAAAAAAAGTTAGTATCTTATAAAAAAATTGTTATTCTTAAATACCAAAAATATTTAGAACGTTCGTTACTATTTCATGTTGAAAGAATGCTCTTAAAGCAAATTTTTTTTCAATGAAACAATTATGTTTAAGGTCGAGGAAGACGAGCCCGAAGAACAGGATATTGAGGACCCATTCGTGAATGATGAAGGTGCTGCAATACCTGCTGATGTTGACGAGCCTGTACCCGACACAACGCGAGTAAAAGAACGAGGTTGCGCAATCGATGAACCAGGATTCGACTGGTCCTCCATTGACAACGAGCCCGAAGTGGAAGAAGCTTGCGTAGATAGGCAAACACCACAAATCGAAGAAAGAGAAGAGGAAGCCGGCAGCGAACAAGCACTCGAAGAAGTCGAAATATCAAGTCGACCAGAAGCCGACGACGTTCGAATTGAGGAAGCATATGAAGCGGATGAAATGCAAGTTGAAGAGACTCAGATAATCGAGGAAACTATAGAAGAGACGCACGTGGAGGAGGAGGAGGAGGAGGAGAAGGAGGAGGAGGAGGAAGGAGAAGAAACTAAGGAGGAAAAGACGCAAGCGGCTGAGGAGGAATCCGATAATGAAAAGCAGGAGCAAGTAACGGAATTTGAGGAAGCCAAGTCTGAGGACAAAACTTCGCACGAAGTTTCGGAGGAGGAAGAGAGGGAAGAAGAAGAGGAATAAACATTTTTTCATTCGAATTATATACATCATCGCGCCAACTCGATTTTTTCTAACATCCTAATATATGAATTCGACTCTCATTGTTGTTTTACTATTTTTTCACTTATTTATTGTTCGTTAATTATATATCTTGTACTTAGGTAACTATACGATTACGTACACAAAGTAATTTTGATAGTTTATTGATACGCAGAAAACGACTTTTTTTAGCAATAAGTTTACCTTGTGAGCGGACCAAAGTGATCGGGCCTAAGAGAACTTACGATATCTTTATTGAAATGTCATCAAATGTATACTATTTAATAAAGATGTCATGAGCAATTATTTATTATATAATGTTGAATGTATTATTTATTCAAATATATATATTTAACTTGTAACTCTATTTTTATAATTTTTTTATTTACGTTATACCTCAGTTATGAAAGACACAGATGCCTCAGTACAAAACAAGTTATATTTATATAAACCAGAAATAAAGTTTCATTCATTTGGAAGAAACTAATAATACACTGATATGATTATAACTTATACAGTTCATTTTTTTTTCAAAACAATATCGCAATATATTTTAATGTAACCATCCCGGAGATAAACAATAATTTCAACTTAATTGAAATAAATGGATTATTATTAAAGTAATAACTTTTTTAATCATGATTTTTCTGTAGATATTATAATATTATTTCCATCATCTTTATTAGAAAATATTCAACAAACTTTATATAAAATCAGTATTACAGCCCAAATATTTCAGATATGAATAACAGTCTACTTATTTGTCACTTTGATCACTTAGATTTCAAACTTGCATGTTGTGTTGCTGTGATGCTAAAAGCATCATCCTATGGCTTAATTTAACATTATGATCTCTTAAATACCTAATCAGATCAGCTTGCTTTTCTAGTAGTTCAGCCAAATTCAGTCCTCTTTGGTGATAGCCTACTTCTCCTGTGTAAGAATTCTGAGTGAATGACATTAGCCATTCTTCTCGAGTAACATCTGGTGGAGGTTTTGATCGATTGAATCTCCTTACTCTTTCTATAGAAAGTAAGAAGAAATTAATGTTTACAAAATAATTTTGAAAAATTGAATATTTATATATGTTTTAAAGGATAAAATGTAATTTTTGAATACTTACTAATATAATTTATGTAAACTGGCACAATGATAATTAGCTCAAAAGTTGTGAGTAGTACAATATAATTTAATGGTGTAAACCATTGAGAAAGTTTACAATAATCTTCATAATTTGATTGGTGACTCTGATGTAAGATGACAGATAATAATAAATAAAACGTATTCCATAAGGAGGATATAAACAGTGGTGTTCTGATATGTTGATTAGTGGATTGATAGAAATCCAAATATCCACATATTCTCAGATTATGATGCCGTGATTTCACTAAATGATCTACTATCATGATGATGAGCCAATAAGCACAATGAAGATAAAGCAATATAAAGTATGTTTCACATTTTTTTGTTTCTTCTGGCCATATTGATACAAATATGATGCCTGTTATTTCTAAAGCAACCTGTAAATTCGATATAAAAATTTTACACATGTGAATTACTAAAAAATAAAGTTATATTTTATAACAACTTCTTACTCCACAAAAAAGAGGTACAGAAACCATAGGAATGGTATCTAGTTTCTTAAAACTTTCTTGTTCTTGAGAGACCAAGACTGGCTGGAGATATTCTTCATCATCCATGTTTAATGATGGATCAAAAAATACAGCTCCCTGAAACTGTAAATGGATTATAAATATATAAAGACTTTTTAACAGTATTCAAAATTAAATGTTGCTAGATATTTTTAATGCCACAAGTAATTTGTATCAATATTGTACTATTGGAAAAAAACACCAATTATTTACTGCCTACGAAGCATGACATCAGCACTAACAATATTTTATCAACTTTTATGGATTGCCAAAATGCAGGGATTTTAACTTTTTATAGATCAGAAAACTGAAATATAAATTTTGAAAATATTTTGAACTGTACATAAGTTAGAATCACAAGCACAAAAAAAAGAAACATTAATCAAACATTATCAAGCATGAAACACAATTGACTACTATTAACATTATTAATTTTCATAGGTTAAATTATTTTAAAAAACAGTAAACACGTTCAAGCACACAGCTTTTAAGAATTACTTACACTGCCAGAGGTATTTAAATGACGTGTGAGACTGACCATTCCCCGTTGAGTAACAAAGGGAAAAATTAGTTTTCAAAAATGACAAACAAACTATAATACCACATATCACTTTCTAAAAATTTGACATATACTATATTTTTATGTCAATTGTCATGTCTCACTCTATTGTTATTTCTAGTAGGTGTTTTTTATTCGTGCCAACTGTGCAAATCCCGTTTCGTATTCTTTTTTTTAATTTACCTACATTTACTTATCACAGCCACTCGCAGCTCGATCTGACAGACACAATAAATAAACTAAAAAGACATTTACGTTCTGGGAACTAGGAAGTGGGAAGGCATCTGATCGGAACTGAACTATGACGTATTGCAAGTATTGTGACTTATGATTTGTGAGTCACAGTGTCACTGAGTCACATCATTCCGACAAACTGAGTTGGTCACAAAGAAACTAGCGTGGTACTTTTGAAATCAGTCCTTATAATTTAAAGGAGTATTCAAGCTAGTGAATAAATTGTATTTTTATAATAAAAATTTACAAAAAAATTAATTTTTAATTTTCATAAAAATATTATTTCTATTACTTTTAGCTTAATTTAAAATGAATCATAGAATAAATATGTATAAGTTGAATTAAAGCACTGCCTTATAGTTCTGAACAAGACTATATATTGACAAAAAATTTAGTTTACAAACAAAGCTTACTAAAATCAAACAATAACAAGTTTAATTATTTATTTAAAATTATTTTCAATCTTTTTCAAATAAATATTATTTAAAAATATGATATGTTTTAATAATATATTTTTTAAGTTTTCTACTTTTTAGTGAATAAAGCAGTACCTATATATATATATATATATATATATATATATATTAAAACAACAGATTTTATAGATATACATCTATAAAATTGTAGTGATCCAGACATGTTTTCATTTCAAAACCATTATAAAAATAAAAAATAGATAAATATGTACAAAAACATAACTTTCTACCTAATATATTGCTGACAAAACCTAGCTTTAAAAATTGTATTCGAGCACTTTGCATTCATTCTTTTACAATGTTGTTAGATAACCTAATTTTCGATAGCAGAGTCAAATTTGTATGATACGAAGACCAACGTAAGTTAAAAAAAAGCATCGTTATGCACTTACATTTTTTTTTCTTCTTTGTAAGTGCCAGAGGAGTATATATTCAACAGCGCGGCGTCTGCGCGCTTGCAAGTTTGCGCACGTGGAAAATTGAAGAGCAAGAAGCAAAAGCGGTAGTCGCGAGCTTGCAGGCAGTCTTATGTGCCTTAAGCTCGGCGCACGTTCTCGCACCTCACCATTCTCCAGAGCGCGCGAAGCAATACTTACGTTATATCCAGATAAATCGTCTTTTCTTTTTTATCAAGCTCAAAAAGGATTTACTCGCTGCCTCATCTCCAATTATATATTAAAGTGACCGACAGCACTTCAGGACCTTCCTTACTTGGCTTTTATAGGAAGCAAGTTTTCAATTAACAGTTCGTTATGAGATATAAAGTGCAATATAAAATTTAAAAAATTCGGTGACGAAAATCATACGTGGATGAATAAAATGTAAAACGTTTCTGTGTATTAACGAATCCGGCATATTTATTTGTAAGTATAGTATGACTTATCTAGCCATGGACTATTTTTCAAAATCAAACTGTAATTCCACTTGAAGAGTTTGCGCAGCTGACATAGTTCTACTATAGACAACGACCTCTTTCTGACAAATTTAATAAGTTTTTTTATTACTTTAATGAAACTCTGTCATGCTTCTTTGGGGAATGTACTTCTAATGATTAAGTCTCGACGAAACGTTAATTTCACAGTCGCTCTAATGCAGTTGAGCGTGCAATAAATATTATCCATACGGAAATAGTTTCGCGAAATAACTTTTCTTTAATGCCCGAATCTCAGGGAATCGCTATAAGCAGTAAAACTTGAAGCCAAATCAACCGCAGAAATGAGCGAAGGTCAAGGCGCTTCGCAAAACCCGACGGAAAAGGCAAAGCAAGATGCCTTGTTCGAGGACCGCGAACCAAAGAAAATAATCCGCATAATCACAGTGACGGCTTACATGTGCTCCGTGTCGTTCGTCGGTGTGGTACTCAGCGGCTATTACATTTTCTTATGGAATCCACCAAATCCAAGGCTCATGCACCAGCAAGTAGCTCATGCACATCATGAAGCTCGGGTCGATTACCTTGATGAGCCGCCCGGTTTCACAACGATGAATGCTGCCGACCCTAATGTATTCGACCTTTTCAAGCATGCGAGTCCTGGTGCTGACACGCTCAAAACGCGCAGGGAGATTGTTAAGAACGTTAATGCCATTTTGAGCGCTAATTTCGAAAAAATTAAGTTCACCGAGACCACTGGCAGTACCGAAGCTCCTAAAATATCCAAGCTCAACAACAATATTCAGTAAGATTCAGCGATAATATGTTATTTTACATTTTCAACAATTTTATTTCTTTTCAACAGCCTCAGCAGCAGCAGTTTTACATCGACCCAACCCGCTGAGTATTCGTCTACTGCCAGTGAAGCCTTTTCTTCGGTATCGCCTGAAGAGAACGAAAAATTCAATAGCGAAGCCAGTGAGGATTCAATACTTAACGATAAAACTACCACAACGGAATCGACATTAACGTCAACTCAAACTTTACCATCGCGACGAACCAAGCGACCTGGCATTAAAAAGCCACATCAAACGCCATTTGCACTCAAGCATTTGGAAGTGCCGATAAAGTTAGAACCCATAAGACGACGTCCGATTCGATTTAGCAGTACCACGATGAAAACCGACGGTTCGAATACTTCAGATAGTAGTGAAGGTTAGTCGTAATAAACTTTTTATATTTCAGAAATCCATGGGAATAACAAATTAATAAAATCCAGTCAGACGTATACTCAAAGAATAATTGTAAGCATATCCAGAAAAGTAACAGACTTTGATAAATCATCAGACTCATCGGCTTAGGTATACACAAGTCACTCCAAAACTCCTCCTCAAAATAGGAAATATCTCTCGAAAGAAATTATAGTGGGAAAAAAGAAATGCAGTATTCCGGTACTTATCGTTTGTGTAGATAACCGCGAGATTAAACGAACTCGTCGATACTTAAATGCCATAAAAGAAAAAAGAGCTTTATATAATTTTGAGCTATCCGCTCAAAATAGTTTATTTACAACAGCTACGGAAGTCTTGAATACTATTTTATAACTTTCACTGATGAGAAAGTAGCAACGTATACGAAAGATGCGTGATGTATGTACGTTTGAAGTTTTCGAGGCCTTCCAAAATGATGTGTTATTGAGTTTCAAAAGATTCGTAAAACTAGTCGAAACATTCATCTTTAATTTTCATGTTTATTAAGTTCGGACATAAATTATACTATAGATCATAAGATGTAAGGTATTGAAAGTAAACTTGGATTAAAGGATTACGGATTTAGCCTAAATGAATTTTCTTGACGGTCAGATGATTGGAAAAGATTGAGCACAAAGGTAGATGGTATTAAGATAAGCCAAAGTAGAGCGATGATGAAAAAAAAAAGTGAGAAAGAACAAATACGCACGTAGAGAGACAGAAAGGAATAAGCTTGTGTAGGATTTAAGATCAAGTAAAGGTTCGAAATACAATAATCAAAGCCATAGAAATGATGGAAAGTGAGGGAGGGACTGAATCATGGTAGACCAATTATATGCCAGCAGGTTCGCGTAATAAGCGGGACAGGGTCGCCAGGGCTTCGCTTCGTATCTGTGAGAGCTTTGTTACATCACCGCCTCTGACTGTCTGCAGAATACCAATTATACGTATATATCTATGTACACTTTGCTTTCCGCAGAAATGTTCGTTTCAGTGATATTCACTTCATAATGAGTTCGAGCTTAATTTTCATTTTTACATTTGGAACTGCGTGTTTTTCTCCTTAGTCGAAAAATGGGAACGTTTCCTTTGTTTTTATTCTTTCGCTCACGCAATACACAAAGATACAGTTACACGCAGAGCTCTGTAATTTTCGAAATTACAAGAAACGAAAGTGAATTTCTTTTTTTTTGTTGTTATATAAGCCTCGACCCGTCACCATTACATTTAAATAAAAGCTAAATTCAATTGTAGGAAAAGTATATACGGTTCAGTATTTTCAATTAATTTAACTTGAACAATGTTCTAAAACAAAAAGTAAAGCTTGTTCCAGTAACAACGAATGCTCTGAAAACAAAGGTGCGGTGTATAAGTCCCTCTCTCTCTCTTCCTCACTCCTGCAATAACGCAAATAACTAGTTACGCAGCAGTGGCTTTCTTTTATTTCTGTGCAAAGTACATTTTGTTATTGTTTCAGAGAAAGAAAAAGAACGAAATTAAACGAGCAACGCTCTGTCGAGAGAACGTTAATTATTGAATTTTTTGTTGAAAAATATTTGTTTTTCGACGTTCGACGAATAAAAAAGCGACTTTATAATACGAAGAAGTCAAAAAATTCCATGTATGTATTTAGTGAGTCGGAAAAAAATTTCAACATTTAAAAAGAATGAAAATAAAACTAGGTTAATGAACACTCGCAATTAATTGAAACGTCTTCACTTAACTAAGAAGCTTTTTATAAGCTTCAACTCTCGGATGAGTAGTCAAAACATTATGAAATTTATTCCACCTATTTTTTATCTTTTATTCCAAAAGATAACAATGCAAACATAAAAAATTGTCGAGAATCGTAATATATTTTCTTTATATCAACGTTTGTCTGACCTGACCACTACTGAGAGTAAAAGAATACAATTACAGAATACTCATCATTGAATTAATCACCGGATTAGTCGAACAAAATGGAAACTTCAACAAGTCAAGTAAAAAGCTAATTCATCCATCTTTTTGATAGTAAAAATAGAGTATTGATTATTTTTTCAATTCCCACATTTGTCAACAAAATGAATCATATCCTGTGCATAGAAAAACGTGAAAAATGGATATACTCGTTGTTTACTCGACTTGTGGCTGACGTTATATATAATTGGATATTCTATCAAGATTCCTCAAATAAATGCTCGTTATCTATATAATACTAAACAATAGTATAATGGAGACCAGTTTAATTACAAATAATATCATAGAAATTATTCCATCTCTTATTCTATTGATCCGATGATAAGTATATTATAGAAAATACAAGAATCACGCGCCGGTACGAGCAGTTTGTCGCATTAAAGCGGCTGTCTGTCCATTACCTGCCTTAATCCTTATTGATCGCAAGAGAGACAGAGAGAGAAAGAGAGACGCAAACGGTTAGAAATCTAGGAGCTAGAACAGGAAAGAGAGAGAGAGAGAGAGAGGAATGAGCAAAGGCCGCCCGTAAACATTTGGATGTGTCAAGGCCCTGAGTGCCGGAAAGCCGGTCGTGGTATCGTCCGTCGTTCACGGTGCTTGCGCACAAGCTCGTGCGCGCCTCCAGTATTTCGGTACCGTAACTGTGTGCTTGGTTGCCCTGTAACTGGATATTTTTTTGTACTTATTGAACGGATGGTTGTTTCAAATTTCTCGTTATGAGTATTAATTTGATTAAACGCATTTACCAAGTCGATAGAAAATCACTTATCCGTCATTGTTCGATAGATTAAAGTACACTTAAGGAAGTATTCTGTATGAAAAAGAATTAAAACTGCAAGACGGTCAAGTCAGAACGTAAATTTTTGAAATTTTCGAAAAAAAAAATAATAATAAATTGGAGTTAAATGCGACTATCTTAGAAAATTGTGACGAAAGCTCCAGCTACAGCCCTGCTCCAAAGCGCAAAGCTCCCACATAGCAGGCGCACACATACGCAAACGATCCGCGCAGTCGCAATGGCGCAGATGCTTTTCCTCTGTTAACTTAACTCGTTTTCAGTAGGAGCTGTCGAACCTGTCGGTGCAGCTCATCCCTTCAACGTGTCTTCCGTGAAACAAGGAAGCCTGACAAAAAGGATATACACGCATATATACACGCATTCGCGTTCGTTCGTCTTCCTCTGACATAAGCCATCCGCGAGTGGCACGTCACGCGAGCATTCGAAGATGGGCGCAAGCAGCGCGGACGAATATTTATCGGGGGAATTCGGCAGAGTTGCACGATAGGTCATTGATTTGGCAGAGAGCGAGAGCAGTGTGTGAGTGGTGCGCGCAAGAAAGGAGTGTGCACAAGTAAATATCGACATAGCAATAAGTCTGCGCTGATTTTGGCAGCTGCTCTTGGGTAAGATTGTTACTCTCGTTTGCTATTATGGCCTATTTGTGTCACGCGAGGGTGATGGATGTTGCTTTGCTACGGTTCGTACAAAACTCCGTTGTGGGATTAATCGCGCGAGTTCCCTCTTGATACAACCTTGTTTACATTGATCTTCGGATATTGTAATACAGCTTTGCGAGGGACGCTTTTTTAATATCTAATACGTTGATATTTGCAACGTATTTTCATTTTCGTTACGTATATTTTTCTCGTCGACTTCTCATTTTTTCAAAAGGTGATGAAGCGCCGCGCTCCTTGCTTACGTCACTGCGCTTCAATTTTTTTCACTTAGGTCTTCAACGATAATTTCCAGTTTCGTGCACTGAAGCGCTTTACAACAATCTTAAATTGAGAATGAGTTGCTACAAGCCAACGCGAGTCGACGGAAGAAAAATATACGTTAGCTTCTGATCTCAATAACAAAAGCTATAACGAGTCAGCATTGTGTGTATACGATCGCAGCGTACTGTAAACCATCAAAGATAAAATTATCCTCTTCAAACCCAAACAATATAAAAAGTTTAATACTTTGTGCTGACTCGAGCGACTCGCGTCTTCGAATATAATTTAAACGTTTTACTAAAGCATTCGTTTATTATTCGAATATCAAGCTAAATAAAGATCATGCTTAGCCCAAGCGTGCAATTTTATTCGCGAAGAGTGCACACGTAAACGTGAAATACGTAGTAGAGCTAAACCACATGAGTGGCTAAACGAAGTACATTTGCATACCTTATCTGACCGGACTTGCTCTACTTAAAAATAAATCGATGTATTATCACGAAATCTAAATACATAATGGCGACCTTCTTTATTAAAGTATATTTCGAAAATCATTGCACGTAGCTGATTAAACGTGAGACAACATCCAAAGTCCTCGCATGGCAAAACAGAAAAGAGTAGCAGAAAAAAAAAGGAGTATGAATTTCTGGGGTGCAGTCATATAATGCAGATACCACGTAAAATGAGCGCGCAGAACATGATGGCGAGTATAAGTCGCACTCTGGGTACTAGGCATGGCGAGGAAAAAGCAGCGAACGAGATCAAATTTGCCAACGAGGAGAGCAAAGACAGATTGTACGAGCCAAAGCACAAGCAAAAAGTCGTCCGCGTGCTTACAGTCGTCGCTTACATTATCTCCGTTAGTCTTGCCGCGATAGTACTCTCGCTTTACTACATGTACATATGGGATCCAACTGATCATCGAAAGTACACAGCTAAACAGCGTCCACACGATCATTCGAAGACTCCATGTCCTGAAATCGTTACTCCAGTTATTCAGGCTGAAATTACAGCATCGCTTGCGGAAAAGTTTAATGGTAAAAATAAATGATGAGTCATACTCGTTTTTATCGATTTAGCAATTGCTCTTACTATACTTTATTACGATAGTCTAGGGAAAAGGCAACTTTATTACTGAATTCTTTACTGAAATGCTTACAATGTTTTCAAGAATAATTTGTAATTACGTCAAGTATATGTCTGACTAAATCTAACTTGTTTTACCTTACAACGGTATATTTCTGTTATCAGTATTATTTCCGTATTGATATAAATTACTAATTATTATTTTACTCAGTGCATCATTACACTTTATAAGATCATGTAAAATCAGTTCTGATGATCAGCCAATCAATCATTTGCTCACAGGCACACTATCGGACAACATAGCAACAGCCGTAACGGCGAGCAGCTCAGATTCCTCGGAGGTATACGAGAACGCGAGTCCTCGGCACGTGGCCAAGAGTCTGTACAAGATACTGACCGATCCGCCAGCGAGCGGCAGCCTACGGGACATAGATTACTCGAGTTCCACGGATTTACCACAGATCTTCCCCGCAGTTCCGCATGCCAACAATAATGACGACGATTATCACGACGCAACGATAGCACCCCTCGACGACATCATCGACGACTGACTCTACGAGGTCGAGGCACGACGCAGACGTCGTCGTCGTCGCCGTAGGACCTACGTTTTTTCATAAGTTTTCTAATTACCAATTTTAAAACATGTTCATCGACTCAATAGTCCATTTATACTTTAGATAGGCAAATTCGTAACGAGACTTTTTGTCGATCCGAACTTCTTTTTATGTTTTAATACGAGTCGAATGTACTTTCGATTGCATTTCTTTATAGCTTTGTATACGAATATGTTGATTCAACGTATATTGATATTTTTCATTTTTATGCAGACACAGACTTGAATGTCGTATTATAACTGTATGATATGTAGTAGAAATAAATATGAGAAAAATTATTTCCAGCAATAAGATTTTTGATTATAGACGTATAATCAATGTGCACTGTCTTCAACAAGCTGTTAATTTTTCTCGTATTTAATCATATTGATTCTAAATCAATTACTATATATAATGCATATATCGACCATATAATAAATTTTACGTAATGTTATAAAGCAAAGTCTTGACTACGAATGTTTAATATCTTATAGAATTTAGACTTTAAACAACAAAAGTGATACTTATGGTCGTTAATGTATAAAATCTATTAATAATAAAAATACATTATTTATTATCCAAATCAGTTTATTATGTACAAAATAGACATACTATACAAATAATTATTTTTCCGTCATAATCATGTGTACAGTTTTCTCAGAGTTTACCATTTTACTTGCTCTTTCGCTACCGACAATAGCCGAAAGTGGTAAAATATCATATTTACAATAGATAATGGTAACAGTCATGTTGCTTGCTGAACCAGACTTAGGATTTTGATAAGCCTCTTGCAACAAATTACACATCTCGCTATAAAAGTGTGAAAAAGCTGGAGGAGCGTAAAATATAATATGCCTGATTCCCTTAATACGTATTCTGTGATAAAAATGAAAACGTTCTGTGTATAAAAGACAATGTGCGTCACTATGGAAGAACATATCTCTGGCTCTCGCGACTTTGGCCGGTTTTGAGTATTCGCAAATTTGCACAAAGCTTAATTCCTCTTTCCTGAAATAATTGCGAAGCTTTACGTAATCGAAATAAGACGGTACAAAAATTAACGTATGATTCATAATACTATCTCTGTACTGTGGTAATATTTTAGTAATGAAAAATTCAAATCTTATATCTATAGCTTTAGAATAATCATTCACATTAAACCTGTGAAAAACTTGTGGTATTTGAAGAATAACTTGTGCAGCCGAGCCTACCAATGTAGGATTCACTACTTTTACTTTTCCTGCATAATTGAAGCATTTTTTATTAAATATGCCATGAATTTCCGGTAGATGAATATTTGAAAAAATCAATGTCTGTCTATAATATTTACTCCAACCATTCACACACCAACTTCTTACACGCCCAAAATCTATACCATGAGAATTCTTAGGCTGAAGATGCATATGTTCTAAAATGTGAAGAAGATGGTCCCAATTTTGCATGAAAAAGATTTCCATTTGATCCATGATTAATAATTCTATAGAAGCAAGAAAATCATAATCTCTTTCTTCCTCTCCTTCAGCTCCAATAGTCATTCTTAATCCTAGAACGGATGAAATTATTATATCGGATGAATAAAAATCTGAATACAATTTCAAAGCTTTTTTGGTAATTGATATTCCAATTTTAAAAGTATCATCAGTATTTCCTTGAAAGGTTTGTTCATAATCTTCTGGTTTTGGATTTTTTTTAGGCATAATAATCTTGCTACCTCCATAATCTTCCATAAACCTCTTTTTGTTGATTACAGATCCACCTTTATCTTCACCTATAAAAATTGAGATAAGTATTTCTACAATCTTCAAACATGAATGTCTGAATGGCACAAGAATTAATACTTTTGGCCTGACAAGTCCTTGATCTCTATATTCCTCTGGAATTTCACCCATGTCTGTTAATTTTGCTTTCTGAATCTTTGCATTGTGGTGAAGTATCTTTGTTCTATTTTTAAGTATATGATTAACCACATGTAGACAATAGATGAATCTTATTTGAGATTCATTAACAAATGTTTTTTCTGCATAGAGTAAATCTTGATAATTGTTAATTATTGAAAACAATTCTTTCTGAAGAGGGCTCAGTGGTTTAGGATCTGTATCCAAATCATCTTTTATATTTTCATCATTTGCTCTGGTAATATTACCTTGTATTGAAGATTTTACATATAACTCATTCAAATCAATTTTTTTTATAACCTGAGGAACTTTACCATACTCTGCATAACATTTATTGTCAAGAAGAGTAGTTTTTATTTTTTTTGCTATTGGCTCATCTAATTTTGATTTTACTTGTGGTATTTGATAAACAGCATTGCCCAGTACTGACCATTTCAATGTTCCTGATTTCAAAGATATAGGTACAGTAGTTAACGTTTGATACAACTCTGGATCTAAATCATTCCGAAAATGTATGGTAAATGGATCACGTACATGACCAGCATCTTCTCTAGCAGTTTCATCATCTTCTTCATTATTCTCAGGTACTTCTATTTCAATTTCTTCTTCCTCTTTAGTTTTCCTCTTACTTAATTTATTATTTACATTCCCATTCTTTGCATCAAAATTTTCAACTACAACTTTACCATCCAAATTTTCATCAACATCATCACTATCTAAATCTTCATCATCTAATTCTCCTTCACTATTAATTTCATCTTTCCAAGCTTCTCCTTGTTCATTTTCATCCATTAACTTATGTTTTGTTAAACCCTCTTCTACTTCTTCGTCATCTGAGCTTTCAGACTCAGACATTACAGAGACTGTTTTAGAAGTTTTGTTATCGGAAAATGTTTTAAGAAGATCATTCATTGGATCTTCCTCTTCTTCTGACGATGTATCATTATAATACATTTGTTGCTTTGTTTTGTATTCTTCAAGAACTTTGCGACGATTTTCAATTTCTTCATTTTTAGCTTCTCTTTCTTTGATGTAAGAAGTAGTTCTAATGTTGAATTTTGGTTTCCGCTTTCGTTTCACTGGCTCTTTCCGAGAACGAGAAAATTTTTTTCCACGTGGCATTTCTGAATGATAATTGCAATAAACATAATTATTAGTCTGAAGATATTTTCAAAAATAACAAAAATTATTTACCTTACTGTTTTACATACAAATTTGTATCATCTTACAAGCCAAATCCTCACGATAAATTACTAAACATATCCACATGGAAAGTGTGTTTATTTGAGGTTAAGTTATCTGCGAATTTGTAAATACAGAATAAGATGGTAACATTGAGGTTTACTGTGTAAGTAGTGCCAATTTTAGGACATATTCTCAAATATCGGCTGTCCAATTCAGGAGCAAATATAATACAAGTTATTTTACGGTTCAAGCTTAGTCTGGATCATAAAATACCGTCAAACAATATTTGTTTTGTATTAAAAATTTAGTAAGGTATTGGAGTTACGCAACAATCGCAAACTAGTGTTGTTATTGTTAAACAAACAAAAAGTCAAAGCCCGCTATTAAAATGACTACTATATGCAGCAAGTTACATTTAAGTTGTAAAAATTTAATATTACATTTTGATTGTCACAGCATAACGTACGTTATAATCCTTTAAAAAATGTTAAATTTGCAATAGCTTGCAGATCTGCAGAAACGGATTCCTTTAGTGTGGTAGTAATGGATACATATACGCGACGTTATTCCTCGTCGCATCTTTAACGTGATATAGGGATATTTGACTATCTCTAGCCAATTGTAGTTTGGCCATTTTCACTCTTTCCTTTCCTTTTCTCTCTTTAACTCTTTCTCGCTCCGAAACATGGTGATATGTTGCGCGCGCATCAATAACATAAGCGCACAACGACAACGGTGAGGTGCACGATATATAGCGAACCGAAGTATACTATCGCACATACGTATGCACGCATATAAGTGAACACCAACAAACGGTATCCTCTCTCTTCTTTCTCGCGTCCCACCCGCCCCCGCACACTTACACATACTAAGCTACTATTCACCGTACTCACGTAATCTTAGGCACGTGTGCGTATAACTCGAGCATCTACATCTATACTTGCACATGTATATAGTATGGAGAGAGTAAGAGAGAAAAAGAGTAAGTACGGGGAGAGACGACGGCGACGACGAGGAATTGAGGAGAGGTGGGACAAACATAGCGAAATATAAGAGGCTCAGAGTCTCGCGTGCGAGAAAGAGAGAGAGAGAGAGAGAGAGAGAGAGAGAGAGAGAGAGAGAGAGAGAGAGTAAGAGAGAGAAAGACAGAGAAAGGAAAAGATAGAGAAGGGAATACACATAGAGACACAGACATAACCCGTGCAGCACTCTCGTTCGCTCGTTGCTCGTGTGGTATCAGAGTAATCTCTAGTGGTGTGTATCAGTGTGGGCTTGCGGGTATAGTGTGTAGGACTGCGATCTCGTCGTCAACGATGAGCAACTTCCCGTGTCAGTGGCGCGTGTGCTCTTTAATTGCCTGTACTTGGTAAACCTGTCGACGACAACGAACTACGTGGACGACAACATTGTGTGTCGCCTCGTGCATGCTCTAACGTTATCTCTCAAACAAACATTGGAAATCCTCATCGCGGCAGTTCGTCATCATTAACGAAGCCTTTTGCTTTCGCGGACGTCGATGCATATAGCGGCACATCGTCTTCATCATCACCGCTGCTGCAGCCACCGCCGGATTTCGTCTTTGGTAGCAGCGCCAGAGAAAAGAAAAAACAGCGCCGGCACGCCGCTTTGCTGTTGCTGTTGCCGCCGCCACCGCCACCGCCACCGCCGCCACCTCATTTTTAATAGAAGCGGGTCTCTCCAACAAGGCTACTTCGGTCCTGTTGAAAAGGAATCAACAACCGCAACACAAGACAACACTGCTGCAGCAGGAAGTTGCCGGGGACACACTCACTACGGCTGCTATTGCTGCTGTCCTGTTTACATTCGCCACGGACAAGTGCGGTAATTAAGAGCAATGCCTTCGTGCACTATTTTTTCTCTCTTGCTCTCATCTCTGCGCCCGCGATGAACGTGCGTATGCGAGAGAGTCTGTGCAATGATGATGGTCGAGTATTGCGAGGATTCTTTTTTTTTTAACTGTACTGAGCCGACGTAAACAAAATTTCGCTATGTTTGCATCTTCGTTGCTGACAATCGCGAAATTTTCAACTATATGCTAACTATACTCGCTTAGTTGCCTACTTAGCTTTGAATTCGACAATTCGATTAAAAGATAGTATATGCAAACAAATAAAGAAAATGTTAAGTGTCTTTCGCAAATTACTTGTTTTGAGCTGTTGAAATTGCAAGTTATTGTCTAGGGGTGAGGCAGGTTAGATTACAAAGTAAAAAATTAATCATTTTTCTCTTACAATTTACTTATCTTGCTCTATAAACTCTGCTGACACACAGTTATGTTACACAGTCTAAAGAATGCACACAAATACATTGATTTTCTTGTTCGTATTAGACATACATGTTGCGATTGAAATTTTTAAAGAGTTTATATATTAGTTGTATTGAATGAAAGACTGTGATGGATAGTCTAATATAGATCATATTTATTATCTATAAAAATGTTTATTTGAAATGTTAAATATTTTTCTTGTGTTTAAAAAAAAACAATATTCATAAACATGTACTTATAGGTAATTGCTGACAGTCCGGGGTGTCTCTGATGCACTCCTTCATTGTACCACAGCTTGTCGTAAGATGGCTGTGCAGCTGGATAGTGGAGGGAAAGATGATTTGAAAACACAATTCCTCACACGGGAGGGAACATACAAGCTAATGACCCTGTCGGAGTACTCAAGGCCAAATAGAGTAGGCTATACCAATAGTCAGGGAAGCACCTCCGTCAGGGTTTCTTTTGTTTCGCTTCCTGATCCTGCTGATCCCAATGGCACACAGGGATTGGGTGATCGAATGTGCTTTAACTTTGGGAAAGAACTATATGTGTATGTCTATAGAGGGGTTAAGAAGGTAAATAATTATATTCAATATACATTATGCATAGAATAATAATCAGAATTCATAAATAGAAAAATTACCAAGATTTTTTATAAATTTTATTTAGAATGACTTGATACAATTTTTTATTTAAAACTAAGACTTTTATGTAATATTTTTAGGCTGTGGATTTAAATAAACCAGTGGACAAAAAATTATATAAGGGAACTAATCCTACATGTCATAATTTTAATCAAACAACCGCAACAGCTGAAATAGCTCCATTATTAGTTGGCTTTTCTACAGGATTGATACAATTAATAGATCCTATTAAGAAAGAGCTAAATAAATTATACAATGAAGAGGTAAGTGTTTTTCACTGCATAGTAACTCTCATTGTTAATATTGATATATTTTCCTTATTTCAAATTGTTATCCATTTATTAATGAAAGAAAATTACTAAAATATGAAAGTATAATTAAAGTTTAAGGAAAGTTTTAAAATATCAATATTTCAATTCTTATAATTACAGCATATTTATATCACACAGTCCTTAGAAACATTTGATATTTATCAAAATAAATTGAGACTACCCACTTGCAGTAGATCTTGGTTAAATGCAATTATAACTCAATCAAATAATTAAGTTTAATGAACAGATGATTGCATAAGGCTGAACTCTTAGTCTTTTAAGTACTGTATCAAAGAATTTCAAAATACAAATATTATGAATTTATAGAAATATTCTACAATCTTCAGAACAATATTTTTGATTTGATTGTATATGAATGCAAATTAATTTTTTTCAAATATTCATCCATTTTTGTTTTTTGATGTACTTGAACAACTGTAGAATTTTATATTGGCATGAAACTAAATTTTCTTTTTAAGAGCTTCTTATTTGACATGGATAAATGGAATTTTATATTGATCTTTTTTATTTCAGAGGCTAATTGATAAAACGAAAGTAACTTGTATAAAATGGGTTCCTGATTCAAGTAACTTATTTTTGGTATCTCATAGTTCAGGTCAACTGTATCTATATAATGAAGAACTTGTGTGTGGCACAACTCCACCTCATTATCAACCATTCAAATCCGGTGATGGTTATGCAATACACACATGCAAGACCAAATCCACAAGAAATCCATTGTATCGATGGGTAATTGGAGCTGAAGGCTGCTGTATAAATGAATTTGCTTTTAGTCCTGATGGCTCCAATTTGGCTGTTGTTTCTCAAGATGGTTTTCTTAGAGTATTTCATTATGATACCATGGAACTAGCTGGATCGGCAAGAAGTTATTTTGGTGGATTTCTGTGTGTATGTTGGTCACCAGATGGAAAGTATGTTGTTGTTGGAGGCGAAGATGATCTGGTCACAATTTGGAGCTATTATGAAAAAAGAGTCGTTGCCAGAGGACAAGGTCATCACAGTTGGGTCAGTGTGGTAGCATTTGACCCGTACACAACGTCTTACGGAGATCATGATCCCGACTTCAGCGGCTCTGATGATGAAATGTCTGTACCTCATAATAACCAGAATCACATACGCGAAAAAACTAATAGATTATCAACCACGTCTCAAAGTGGCCATTCAAATAGAAACTCTTGCAGTTCAGAGTTGAGGGTAGCTGGAGGCACATGTTACAGGCTGGGCAGTGTCTCGCAAGATACTCAACTCTGTTTATGGGATATCACAGAAGACGTTCTTAGGCAGCCTGTATGTGTCAAGCACAGAGCTTCAATTTCTATTGCCAATTCGAGCGCTTTAACATCTTCAGGAACTTTCAATAGTGGAAATGGAGCAATGTCAAATCATCATACAAATAGTAAACATGTAAATTCTAATAATATTAGTTTTAAAGAAAATGCCAGCAGCATGAACGATAGCAGCAATAATAGTACAAGTACTAATGTCGCTGTGTCAACAGTAAACTCACTAACTCAAAGGTTAGCAGGAGGATTAGGTTTTGGCGAAAAAAGAGGTGATAATCACAAGAGGAACTTTAGCCTGACTATTAGAGGAAGTGGGACACCGGGCAATAGTACCGCGGTACAAAACAGTAATGCAGACAAGGTGGGAACTAGTACAAATGGAAGTAATTTAAATAGTGTTGGTGGAAGTGTAGGTACAAGCAAGAAAGTTAGTTCTGTGATGGATGACCCTATGAAGTTGATAGGAACTGCCTGGTGTCCCAGGTTTGATGAGTGTCCTGTGTTGGAGCCATTAGTGTGCAAGAAATTGGCACATGAGAGACTGACTGAATTAGTGTTTAGGGAAGATTGCTTCGTTACAGCATGTCAAGATGGATATGTGTATACTTGGGCAAGACCTGGTCATATGGTAGGTCACCTCACCATAAGCAACACTTTGCACAGACCACACAACCACAGCCACTCCTATCCTGTTAATTCTGTTCGGCCCAACGATCTCTGATGCATTGTAAATTCTTATTGTTACCAATTTTCTATCAATTAGAGTTTGCCTTTATTACATCTATTCAATAGATCAGTTATTGTGCTTGGAGGTAGACATTTTATGTTTAATTATGCCATTTCTATTGTTATAATTTTACAATTGCCTTTTTAGCATTTTAGTCATTATTTTATGTTATAAACAATCTATTGTATGTGAAAAATGAACGGTAGTAAATATGACGCTAAATTATTTGTGATCAATTTAAAACAAAGATATAAATTTCAAATTTTTTGATGTCTGTAGAACAAAAAATTTTTTAAATCATAAAACTCAAAATGTGATTATTTTAAAAAATTTTATCAGTATCGTTTAATTAGTCGAACGAGCTGTATTTCTTTGTAGTTTTTCTCTAAATAAAACTAAAAATTATCTCATTTCGAAATAATTTCATAATTTTAGTCTTTATTTTATTTTCTTCCTTTTTCAAAATTAAAATTATACTAATTGCGTTATTTTAAGATATAATATTTCCACATGAATTTTTATTTAAAAATATGACTGTAAACAGGATACATCTAAAAAAAATTTTTTATTAATACTTGCAAAATTCTAAGACTGAATGTTATCATAATCATCATCATTATCATTATCACAACAGTAGAAGACAACAGTACAAATCAGTAATCAAGTGTTCATTACTTCTAATTACTGTTTTAATTTTGTGCTACAATTGTAATGAAGAGTTTATAATTTACTGCAGACCTTAACAAAAACATCTGTTTGATAATTTGATAGATTTCACAGTGCTTTAAATATGATGAACATTTGAAAAACAAGTAGATTGTAAAACAGTAGAGCATAACTAAACATAAAATAATTATTTCAAAATATTAATCAATAAATATATTAGAATGTATCAAAAATAATTTGTACATAATTAGTATTACGGGAAATATTACATCATTTATCATAACATTACTTATGCAGAACATCCAATGTAGATACTAAAATAATTTCTGTATCCTATAGCAATTTCTTCGTTATTGTTAGCACTCTTGATGAGTAAACAAGATTGTAACACAAAATTAAAAAAGTCGTAAGCTATAAATAAGAATGATGAACAAATAGCATTAATTGAAGCATTGAATGAATAAATTCAATAATTCACATTCATAATTAATTTTCCAATTCTTTGAATTATTATGAATAAAAATAGTAGTTTTTTTCTTCAATTTTTATTGATTTCAAAAATTAAATTAAACGTTTAACTTTTAATTATCTAAATTCAACTTATAATTACTTGGTGATTGTTTTTTCATTTTCTTCTTTTAATACACCATTGCGTTCTATTGTTGGTTTGATCAATGAAGAATATATTTTTATAAATGATGTGCACTTCAGAGTTCATTCATTCATAACATAACTAGCTTTGCATTCAAACTTTAAGAGTGTAGTTACAGTTTGCTTGCATTAAATTAAAAAATCTTTTCACACTTATGACAACTAAAATCAATTTGAAATGTGCCATTAAAAATGTTGAAAAGAATAAAACTAGCTAATATTTTCATATAGTTTATGCAAAATTTAAAAGTAATGCATTTTATCAAGAGTAAATTAAAATTATTTTACGTACATTGTCATGTAACATTTTTCTATTTCCTTGATAATTATAGATTTATTCATTTATTAAGATAACAATTGTTTTATTAACAATTTTAATTTTGAAAGCCTGTATGCAGTTTATCTATTGAAGTGTTACGAGTTCAACAGTAAATGTAAAAATTTGCAATATATATAAAATCTAAAAATTAGGTTGCATCTTTCTATGCTTGTAAGTTTTCGAAGAATTTCTTCAGGGCAGGCCCCTTTTATTTCCTTCTTTCCTTTTATATTAAGATTAATTATACTAAAATCGTAAATCATGTAGTTTACCTATACTTTAAAAGATAAAATATCCATTTTTATATTGAAATTACAAAGTATTTGTGTTATGGAATTAAATAAAATTTGACATAAAAATAACTTTGAGTGCTTACTGCTCATCAATTTAGTAAATAAACCGCAAACTATATTCTCGATTATTTATTGAAAAATCTCGATACACTGAAAAAAATCTAGTACTTCCAATTTTAATATTAATCAAACGTTTTCAAATTTGTATTTGAACTCACGTATTTACATTATATATTTACACCATTACTTAATAAACAATAGTTTTCAAAGAATTATTTTTTCAATTTTGTAGCATACTATTTTCAAGTAATGCTTGCGCTTAATAATTTTATCAAATCAAAAAGCACATGTTTTTTTATATTAAACAAAATATTGCTTTGGCTGATGCAAGAATCTTTGGATGAATTCTTCCTGGTTTTAGCATGGTACGTATAAGTTGTTTGCTTTTTTAATAAATCTTATTCTTCACTTTTTGATGCAATAGTTTATAACTTTGTTTTGTTTTTAAATTAATTATTATATAATAATTTTTATTTATCTGCACAACATTTATTGCATTTTTGTAGTTATTATTATAGTAACTTATTGATTCTCAATAATTTTCTTTATTTATTTATACCAGTAACAGATAGAAGTTCAATACATAATGTTATAATCATTTATTTATTTGACTTACAAATAAACTTTAAAATTTTAAAGTAGTATATGTTATTTATATTCAAATTTGTATTACTATAACGACCAAACTCCATTGCAAATTAAATTTGCGATATTTGTTTGTTTTTTCAATAGCCTGGAGTAAACCACATCGGTACTACCCTCCGTGTTGTGAGTCCAGCCGAGAGTAGCAGTACCATAGTATAACGGAATTTAAATTCTTCAACTGTGGTACATCAAGACTAGATTGTCATCGTAACAAATAATCATGAATCGTTGTTTGTACCATTCTCAAAAAATCACCTTTTTAGATTGTATAAAGTCGAGCAAAGAGCGTGCGGTGGCTTTATTTCATTCCACTGTAGACAGATGTTTAAAAAAAGAAAAAAAAAATGATGGTGACAACGAAAATAAAGTAACTCATTATTTAATTTTATTAAAAAGAATGTCCCATCGAGACTGATAAGACTTGGCGAAACGTTATTAATATTTCTTCTAAATGCTTTTATATCGAGTCATCGAATGATCGACTGAATATATTATAATTTTAAACGTATAACGTATAAGACAACGAGTATCAGTCATCAAAACTATCCCAAGGAAGACCTAAAGTGTTTCTATTATTTGTTCTTTAAATGCGATTATGTCATTCCAATAAAGTTTATCTGAGTAAATTATAAGTTTAAATACTAATGTAGAAATTATTTATTATTGAACCCTACTCTTATTAATTTTCCTGCAAGAAAATAATTTGCAAAAAATACCTAATGGAAATGGTTAGTACTATTAATCTGTAATATGAATCGTGTGAAATTTAATTTGATTCATTCAGCAAAATTATTTGTTCGATCGCATAAGTTTTAACTACCTTTACTTTTACATAATTTAGTATTTTTACGAATGAACAGTAAAATCATAATTTAAAAAAGCGGCTACTGCATAGTGCAACAGTGCTATATAGCGTTTCTGTTCGAAAAATTGCTCTTCGGGCCCCTAGAAATTATTTCACTATGCATTTATGGCCATAGTTCATCGCTGTTTGCAATTCCACTTCTATTAGAATGTTCTATTATTACTGACAAGAGTGTGTAAATAAAGAGTATTTGTTATATCTGTAAAATTTAATATTAACAATTATGATCTCAGAAAAAAACGTTGACTATATAACTGATATATATATATATATATATATATATATATATATATATATTTTTTTTTTTTTTTCATGGAGTAAACAGTGTCGTAAATATTGATTTCACATAATACCTCGGCTTAACAATTAAAAACTATAGATTTTCTTAAAATTTTATATTATAACATTTTTTTATTATTACAAGTAGAGTAAGCATAACGTTTGTTTGCTGCAATGATTATCGTTAATATTAAATTATACAGATAACAAGTACTTTTTGTATAGTAGCAAGTTCTTCACTCTTGTCAGTGATAAAACAGACAATGTTTATAAAAATAGACGTGAAATTGTTAACAAAAATAAACTGCGGTCACGATGCATAATGAAATAATTTCTAGGGACCCGGAGAGCATTTCGAGCGGAAACGCTTTAAGTGAATTAAATAGTTCATAGCGCATGCTACATACCGCTACCGCATATTCGCGGGAAAAGGTTTCAAGTTGGTTACACTGTGTATCAACTTCAGTACTGGTCAACTTTAAATGTCGATCTTAAAATATGCATGCAAGCAACGACAAATTTCAAAGGATACAGATTCAGATTTAACGTTCAGGTCAAATTACATCTACGTTCTGCGTGTTTATATACATGAACTCTTCATTTTAAACATTAAATGATGTTACTTATTTTTAATTTATTTTCTAATATAACATAAATTTATAAACATGATTTCTAAGAAAATTGCTTTGATGAAAATATGGATATATTTTTCTACAAACTATTTTGTAGTAATATTTGCTTGGAGTGGAGAAGTTACTTTAAAAAATTTAGGAGAAAAAGAGTTTATGCGTTTAAAAGGTAATATTTTCAACAAACTTCAACTTTCAAAATTTTACACTATAGATTTCTAATATTTCATCAAGCTAAAGCAACAATACCCTATCATGGAGCATGCTGGCATCATGCTGTTAAAGCTATCAAAAGCAGTTGTGATAAACTGGATGATAATGAACATTCTATATTAGCTCTTCATTTGGCTAATTGTTTTTTAGAAGACTCTGGGCATGTAACTTATAATTGCTATACAAAACATGATAACAATGATAGACGGTTTGTATCTGGTTTTATAATTTAAGTTTCAATATTGTTATTGAATATTATTTATTTTTTACAGAATGTGCATACATGAAATGTCTGATAGGGCATTTAGTGTATATAATGAATTTTATATTTATGCATCACATATGTGTTTCTTTCTGTATCATGAACTTTGGCAAGCTGAAACACAAGAAACTATAAAACAGTAAGTCTTAAGTGCAAATATTTAATTTCAAGTTAAAGTTTGAAATAAAAATTTGCTTCAATATTTAATCACACAGCTTATATCATGCATCATCAATGATGAAAGAACAATTGATAAAATCTTCACAAATGCAAAACATAATGTTAGAAAGTCAGAAAGAAGGTATTAAAATTCAAAATCAGCTTCTGGAGAATGGGAAAGAATTGGAAAATATTATTGAAACATCTTCAAAGTCGGTTGCAAACATGGTTTTCAGTTTTAAGTAAGATCTGTAGATTAAGTTTTTATAATAATTAAATTGAGCATATAAAATATTGACACTTGAACTATCAATATTTTTAGGGAGTCTGTACAAGATCAAAAGGAGTTGTTATTTCAAATTTTCGGATACTTACGAACTTTTCAAAACTGGATTATTAGTGAAGTTTCTTGGTTTCAATCAATAATTTATTATACAGTCAGTTGTATATTATCAGCATTATTTAGTGCATCTAAAAAAACTGCTAATGCAAGAGTTATTCTGTTTGCAACTCAGAGTTTAAATGTGATAATAGAGAGAATGCTTGTTCAGTATTATGATAATATTCCAGAACATTTAAATAATGATAAAATTAATTTAGTAGCATCTATCTGGCTTGTCAGAAAAACAACACTTATCATATGTATATGTAGTCTTTTATATCATTACTGTTCTCACAAAGATGAACTTGTAGAAAATTACAAGGTCCTGCAACGTATTGAGAATCGTTTAGATTCAATACAATATATCACTGGTATTTCCAAAACATCTGCTATAAGTATGATTCTATATTATGATTGTAATATTGATAATACAACAATTTGTAATATAATGAAATGATATATTTTTCAGGATATTCAAAGAGACTGGCTTTGAAACGAAATAAAAATACTTCTGAATGTCATGAAAATGCATCAGAAATCATTAAAAGTAAATGAAATAAAAAATATAAGTATTTTTAACTTATGTATTTTGTAAATAAATCAAATTGTAATTAATCAAAATTTGTAATCAACTTTTATCTTTACAATATGTATATATATTTTAATCAGTTCTATTATCTATAAATTATTCAATAATATATTAATTGTACTTTTATAGTACAAATGTTTACAATACTTACACATCTTACCAATATCTTACACATCACGATAATTAAAGATAAATAAATCTCCATTTAGAATGACGTGAACATAAACACACTACTTTTAAAACATCTCTTCTGAATCCTCTTCAGAAATTGCACTTTTTATAATTTTATCTTCCAACTTGTCTTCATCAAATTTCAATACAAGATCACATTCACTTTCTTCAGAAAGTAAATCTCCCGTTTCTTCATCTTCATCTACAGTTTTAATGTTATTGCTAGTTGATGGTACTACTTCTGCTTCAAGATTGTCAGAAGTAGAAACATTAAAAAAGGCATTACTTTTAAAGTTTTTATTTTCAATTATTTTAATTTTAGTACTTCTATTTCCTTTTTTTCTCTTGGAACTTGATTTCTGACAAATAGTTTCTTGACAGTCTCTTTTTTTGATTGGATGACTAGAAACATTACATTTTTCTTCCAAATCACTGTCACTTTCATTAGTAAGTTCATCAAAAATATTATTGGAGTTTTTGAATTTTTGTAATCTATCTTTTAAATCTTTTATCATTGTTTTTTTTGAATTTAATATCAATATAAATTTCTTATAGAGATCATCCTCTAATTGATTTTTAATAGTTTGACACTCATTCAACTTTTGTATAATTTCGGACTGTATAAGTTTGACACTTTGATACTTATTATGAACGTCGTCTAAATCTTTTTTGTTTTGAGAAAATTCATCAATTAATATCAATAACAAACTAATTGCAGATGCTATATCTTGAATAGGTTTTATATAAATTTGTCCAAGAGCCCACTTTTCTCTTTTCCAATAAAATTTGCTCTCGGTTAGATAAAAATCAATTTCACTTTTTATACCACACAAAATGTCTTTTGATTCCTGTAAATACATATTTAGTGATTTATCAAATGTTTTTGCATACTTTTCTAATTGTTCTTCCCCTTCCTAAAACAATTAATTTTATAAAATATATGAAAACATCTGTAAGATCATTTTGCAGCATATCAGATATATTTAAAAAATGATCTCTTACCTCTCCAAACAGCAATGTTCTATCATCTTTAACAATATAAACTTTGAGTTTTGCATCTTCCCATATGGAACATACTATAAGATTTTCTGAATTAGATTCATCTAATTTATTAAGAACTTTGCAAACCCTTATGTCTTTCATATTATCAAGAAAATTATTTTAGTATTGCAGATTGAGTCTTCTATAAAATTTATTAAGATTTTATAAACATAGTTTCAATTTATAAAGTACAAATCTTATTCTCAGAATTATTCACTAGTGTAATTAATGCCTATGCAAATTTATTTCTTGAATTGGTAGATAAATAATAAGCTGATCTTATTGACTTGTATCAACTTGTATCTAGATACGTGTTTTGGAGCAGTTTGAAATTTTAAAGTTGGTTACACATTGTGCCAGAGCTGTAAACATATCGATATATTCATGAATAAAACTATTCTGGAGCATTATATTAGTTTTATTTATTGTGCACATGATTGAGCATCTTGTTTAACAGTTTCCAATAGTACTAAACATACAGTGCAGGTATACATCAATAACTATCAAATCCAATAAGAACAGTAAAGAAAAGTAAACAGAAGAGGACAGTTGTGAATGAAGCAGCTGAGCCGGATAACAGCATTTTTTTAAATGAATTGAAGACTAGCCTAAAGCAGGAAAATTCACAAAATCCGTGTAGAAGTAAACCTTTTCTAAGGGACTAAGTTTATTTCTTTCGGTGATATATTGTGTAATAGCCTTAATCAGCTGTATGGGTGGCTATAGTGATACTTGAATTTCCGCAACGGACGACGAAGAGAAAAGGGACAGATATATTTGTGTGTGTGTATGTATGTATGTATGTATGTATGGATGTATATCTCTTGAGAGAAGAGCGCTTGACTGGAGTGCCCGTATTGCACGTTTGTAAAAAGGAATAGGATTTGTTAGGCACAGGAAATTATTTTCCTTTATTGCCTATGCAATTCTTGCCGAATCGGTATTTTGTTTATGTAATATTTTCTACTTTATTTAATTAAATAATACGAATATGAGTGAGAATGCTGAGCAACCAAGAGTTCCAACATCCGAAGACATTGCTCAGGCGGAGGCATACAAGAATAAAGCAAATGAATTCTTTAACAGTACGTTATAATGATTTATTTGAATTAAATATGCATCAACCTACTTAGAAATTGATAGAATTTTCAAATTCTCTGTATCCAAATCGCTCTAATGTAAATTGATGAATCACGTGCGTTACACACTTAACCAAACATTTCCTTGAATTTAACTAAAAAGTTTAGAAACTAATATTAACAACCATTTTAAAGTTAAATAATAATGACCAATATTTCAATAATCCATATTTTGACTAAATACAATTGATTTTATATGAATTAATATGATTTTAATGTAGTGGCTGCTTGTCATTATCTGATGTTGTTAAGCTATCTATTCAATAATGATTGATAACAATGTTTCTTTTAGACCAAAATTATGATGAGGCTATTTCATTATATACCAAAGCTATCGAGTTGAACCCAACAGTAGCATGTTATCATGGGAATAGAAGTTTCGCATACTTGAAGACAGAATGTTTTGGTTATGCATTGACAGATGCATCAAAAGCAATAGAGCTGGATCGAAATTATATAAAAGGATACTATCGAAGAGCAGCAGCAAACATGTCTCTTGGCAAATTCAAACTTGCTTTGAAAGATTATGAGACAGTAATGAAAGCTAGACCAAATGACAAAGATCCCAAGGCAAAATTCACAGAATGTAATAAAATTGTGAAAAAACAAGCTTTTGAAAAAGCTATTGCTGTTGAGGAAAACAAAAAAAGCATAGCCGATTCTATTAATTTAGAAGCTATGAGTAAGTAAAGTAATATTAATAAAAAAGTGTTTTTTCAATTGCAGTTGTACATTTGGTAATTAATGTTCTAGCTATTGAAGATGAATACATTGGACCAAAATTGGAAGATGATAAGATCACACTTAAATTCATGCATGATCTATTGGATTGGTACAAAAAACAAAATAAACTTCATAGGAAGTATGCATACAAAATTCTTCTTGATGTCAAAGCACTTTTCATGGCACAACCAAGTTTAGTTGACATCACAGTCCCAGAAAATAATAAATTCACAATTTGTGGTGATGTGCATGGTCAATATTACGATTTACTTAATATTTTTGAACTCAATGGAATACCATCAGAATCTAATCCTTATGTATCCTTTTATTTCTGCAATGTTATTATTAATGATACATGTAGTCACTAAGGTGTAAAGTTTTTATGTTATAAAAATTATTTGATACTTTCCTTAATCATTATATAGTTATTTAATGGAGATTTTGTTGATAGAGGATCATTTTCCGTTGAGTGTATATTCACATTGTTCGGATTTAAGTTATTATATCCTAATCACTTCTTTATGTCCAGAGGTAAGTTTTTTTTTAGAATTATATATTATGTATAAAATGATGTAGTATGTAACAGTATCTTATGAAAATAATATTATTTTACAGGTAACCATGAGTCTGCTACAATGAACCATATGTATGGATTTGAGGGAGAAGTCAAAGCAAAATACACTGCTCAAATGGCTGATTTGTTTACCGAAGTATATAATTGGCTGCCGTTAGCTCACTGCATTAATAGAAGGGTTCTTGTATGTACTCATTTCGTTGTGAATCAAGTCAATTATCGTTTTATTTTTTAATATGAACTATTTGTTTAGGTGATGCATGGTGGTTTATTCTCAAGAGACGATGTTACATTAGATGAGATTAGAAAAATAGATAGAAATAGGCAACCACCAGACGAAGGACCTATGTGTGAATTATTGTGGTCCGACCCACAACCTCAAATGGGCCGTGCTGCAAGTAAGCGAGGTGTTGGAGTACAGTTTGGACCTGATGTGACTCACCAATTCTTGCAACTCAATAAACTAGATTATATTGTTAGAAGTCACGAAGTAAAACAAGAAGGATATGAAGTTGCACATGACGGAAAGTGTATAACAGTCTTCTCTGCTCCAAATTATTGGTAAGTCAAATCAATTCAAGTAAACCACGCAAGAATTCATTTTTGAAGGGTATAAAGTTTAGAAAAAAGTAGAAATAATTCAGATTATATTGGCTTCTATATATTAAATAAGCTTTTCTTAATTTTCAGTGATACTATGGGTAATCAAGGTGCTTTTATCACACTTAATGGGAACGACATGAAACCTAAATTCACTTCATATGAAGCAGTGGTAAGATTTTATATTAGTATTGCTTTTTATGTTTTTCAACACATATAAAATTATTACAATCATAATTTTATCCTCAGCCCCATCCAGATGTGAGGCCAATGGCATATGCTAACTCTCTACTGAAGTTCATGTCCTAATAAGAGATCTAGAGTAACACGTGGAAAATTACCAATAATTAATCACGAGTAGTTTAATCAAATCGTGGATAATATATTTGATACCGAAGCAGGGAAGATAAGGTGCGCTTATTATTCTCTGTAGAATTAAAAAAAATTGTACTCAATTTAGGTACAATACAGACGTATTACATAAAGCGATGCATAACATTAATACGTACAAAATAACTTGTTTGTTGAAAAAAAAATTGCGAGCTTGAATGTACAAAGCATTTAATAATTATTGAAAGAGATTTAATTTTCTTTGAAGAGATTAATTTAGTAAATACAATTTGGTTTTTTTATATACGACATATAATTGATAAACGCAGTTTTTTTAAATGAACAAAAATTTTCGAACAATTTATTAAACAAATAAACGAAAACATTTAATAATCATGCACCTAATAAATGATGACTTCAAAGAATTGTTACACTTTTGTATGTTATTAAATAAAATAAAATAAAATTTGTATCAAATGTAAATACCATGTCTGAATAAATTTGTAGATACTGCCAAAAACTTTTTGATTTATAATTTAGATAATCAATTAGACTTTTCCCTTGCATTCATTTGCTATTTATTATAAGCTGCAATAAATGTATTTAATGTTGTATTGGAAGCAACATGATTAATGTTGTTTGATACGATTTAAATGTATCCGCTATTAATAGATGGCACTAGTGAGGCAACTTTCATATGCGAATGCGCGTCGCGCATTATGTACTGTTGATAGTTTAACACACGTGTAACATCTAACAGAACGTTGCAAATTGTTGGTATAAATTATATTTTAACCATAACCTTATTTAATTATTAGTATTATTTAAATACAGTTAAAAAATGAAAGTCAAGAAAGTGAAAACTCAGAAATCCTCTGTTCTCAACAAAGCAGTAAGCAACGTTAAGCAAGTTATCAAGGTATAATTTTGTAAACATAACCTCTGTAGAAACGAATGTTTAAAATAATTTGTAAATGTGGATCGTGAGAGCGACCTGCATCACGTAATAAAAATAATATCTTTACAAAATGAGAAAGTATCAAAAGTTAGAACTATCTCAACTGTTTTTTTGTTCAGATATCGCAATCTTATGTAATTGTACAAGAACATATAAAATATATTTAATTCATTAAATTTATTTAATTTTTATTAGAAATTTTTTCATTGTGAAGTTTATTAACTAAAAATTATTCACTTAAAAAAGATTTATTGATATATAATATTATTTTAGAAAAGAGACAAAGAAGCAGTTAAAAAGAGTCTTTTAAAAAAATCTGACGATAAAGATAAAAATAAAGAAAAACCATTTAAATCAACAAGAGGTGTTATCTACATTGGTCACATACCATATGGATTTTTTGAAAATGAAATGAAAGAATATTTTGAACAGTTTGGAAAAGTGACTAAAGTAAGAGTCGCTCGCTCCAAAAAGGTAAATAAATTATTTTATTATTTTTGCTATACAGTTTTAGATCTTACAAATTGAACATAAATGTTCAACTAAAGTATATTCAAATTTATTTCTATTTATTTAATATGCTTAAAATTAAGAAAAATAGTCATATTACTTATTAATTTGTATTATTTCTTTCAGACTGGCAAAAGCCGTGGATATGGTTACATTGAGTTTGAAAATATTGAAGTAGCAAAAATAGCTGCAGAAACAATGAATAATTACTTGATGTGTGGCAGACTTTTGAAAGGTATGGTTACTAAGTATATATCTGTAAGACTTAATTATAATTATTACAATCTTATTTTTTCAGCAACTTTCATTCCACCAGAAAAGCAGCACAAAGGCTTTTTCATAGGGAAGCCTTGGACTTCTAAAATATATCCAAAGGCTGTTAATAGAGTAAAAGAATTGAAAAAGAATGAGAGTCTTATAACTGAAAAAGTATACAAAAAAAATGTGAGAAGGTCACTTAGACAATTGTCTGCATTAGAAAAAAAATTAAAAAATGTTGGAGTCGATTTGAAATTTAAACCTGTAGATGCTCCAAAATTATAGTTTAAATATAGATTTTTATTTAAACTTATACCTTAAGTTATTGCTAATTTTTTAAATCAAACAACTGTTATCAATTAATTTCACCGGTTGTTTCTCAAATAAATTGTCAGTAAAAATGATAAGATAAACATTTACCGATAAGTATTTACCGATTTTACTTAGGATTCACTCAAGTGACATTTCATGTAAGCTCAAGACATAATTTCTGTTTATATTTTTCTTTTAAAAAAGTATCAGTTTATAAAAAATAAATAAATATATTTAAAAATGAAAAATTTGACAAATATTTTTATAATAGCATTAACGATAAATGTCTCTTTAGGATTAATTAACCGAGAAACTCGTAAGTCTGCAATACTCTAAATTTTACTTCATTGTGATATATAATATGTTATGGAACTCCGCTTTGAAATATTATGTTTGTGAATTAGAAAAAGGTGCATTAGATAATAAGTTGAAATTATTTCTCGAAAACTTGAAGCCAATGTTGCGAACTGGTGATGACACTTTAGGCATCCCTATTCTGGATCCATTCACAACTAAATATCAAAAAATTAATTTGTCGGAAGATAACCTAAAGTATTAGTTGCATTAATTCGATAAATATTTCTAATATATATCAACTCTGAACCAAAGAAAGCAAATATTTTTTTTATTTTTAAAGTATTATAGGAGATTTACGTGACCTCAAAGTAGAAGGTCTATCGGATTATAATATAAACAATGCTACATTTAAATTAGCAGAGTTGAAAATTACGCTGAATATTACCTGGCCATCGATACAATATAAATCTTTGTATAATTTTGATGCTTAATTTAATGATTGGGAAGCTTTTGGATTATTTGGAGAGGGATACGTTTGGTGCGTAACTCATATTTTTGAATGAAAATTAAATGACTATGGGTCATTTTATATAAATATTGGTAAATCTTTCATGCGTTATAAAATTTAGGACGCACGTTACGAACTTTATGTTTGGCGCAACAGCACAATTAGATATGAAGTCTAACAAGGTATTCGTAAAGAAGCTATCTACTGGACTGTCTATGGAAGCGACCAAAGTGAGTATTTATTAAGACGTTTCATTATTAGAAAAAAATATAAGATATCAATTGATGCATTTTAAAACTTAATTTTTCCATTTTGTAATAGATTGTTGCGTCTGGTATTTATAACTATGAGGAAGCGTCCGAAACAATAAATGCTATAGTGAGTTCATCATTACCTTATGCACTTGAGACTTATCAATGGTTAATTGCAAATGAAATAGACATTCGATTGAAGAATTTAATTAACTTTTATTTACGCGATATGACTTTACAAGATATTATAAATATTATTTTGCCATAAAATCATATAATTTTGTTATAAATGTTATGAATTACAATAAAAAAAAATAAAATTTGTTTTCACGACTATTACAATAATTTTTATTTTTTGTGCATTCATTTAATTACAATTAATAATGGCCAGTTCGTTTCTTACAGCTATCTACAAGATTTGATTCTACAAAAATTTTTAATATTTGTTTATTTAACATAATGCTTATCTATTGAGTACGAAAAATTAAATATTTTTTTCTTAAAACGTGAAAATAATTAATTGGCACAACCCATATTTGACTATGTTTCAGTAATGGGCAAAATCTTACATATATAATTCTTTCAAATATTTATTTATTCCTACAGAAATATTTTATGTAGAATACTTTCAGTCAATTATTTTCCAATCAGATTTTCTGTAGAAAGTTTACATGTTTAATAACATCTTCTTTTCTAGTAACTACTATTACGTGTTTTCTGTTCAATTAAAAACACATTCTGTTAAGAAAATAAGAAAATATTACTTTTAATCAAATCGTGTAGAACCGATATCTCCACAAAATGAACCTGGGCTTAATGATCATCAATTATCATTCGATTATATCCAGAAATAAAGCTTTAAAATCGATAAATAAACAAATTAATTGCTTTAGGGTTGCCTTTCACTGGGGGCTAAATTAATTAATACATATGTAATTGAAAATCACACTACCCCAATATATATTTCATGTACCTCATATATAAATAAATTAAATGTTTTGGTATAACTGGTATCAGTAGGCTTTCCTTTATATATTTATGTATTCATTTTTATCAACGCAAATGCAATTATTTAAGAAAAAGATCATCAGTTGATTATTTCTTAATCAATTCTGTATCGAATTCGATAATACTAAGAATATTCGATAAGGCTGCGATTATAGAGGTGAGTTACTGTTGGCTATCAGCATTGTATTTAAGAAATTAAGATAAAACCAAATATTTATTTCACGACGGCAGTTGTTGAACGCTGTGATTATATTCTTTAGTTCGTTTGCGTTTCTTCAAGCGTGGGTATGTTTTGGATGTTGTTATTAGCATAGTGTTTTGTTCGATTAAACATCTTATCAATTATTGAAAAACAATTTTCTGTAACAATAAGTACTGCAAATACGATTGAAATAATGAATTCTCATTGTACAAACAATTTTTAAACAGGTTCTTCTTATTATAGAACTATGAAGATTGTAGCAGTATTTATGTTATTAGCCGCCGTCACTCATGACTCCCATGCTTCCAATGTAAATAATTTCAAAGGTACGTAATTTTTTTAAATTGGTTAACAAAAGTGCTGTATTTGCTTGTACTCGGTTTCTGATCTATTCAAAGCCTTCGTACTATTTTGGTTGATTTGCTTACAAACTCGCCTCTAAAAACTATTATGGCTATTTGCATTTATTTTGCTTCGTTTAGAAAAAAATTAAATTCCAATCAATGTCCTACATTAGTCATAAGAATACGTAGGGTTGGTACTACTAATACATATAAACTAATTTCAAACAGCAATTATTTTACAATAGCTTTGTTATATTAAATCGAAGCACTCTTTAACACAATATTTTATATTGATATGTGTGTGTGTGTGTGTGTGTGTGCGCGCGAGCAAAAACATCATAGACTATTTCATGCAAATGATAATACAGAAAAATTTGGAAATTGCTTTATAGCATTCTTATTATTCGAAGAATTTGATTTCACAATTGATGATAAGCTTGTTTATCTTATCAATTATAACGTGTATTCTCATTTTTAGAAATACTCAAGCAAAAGTAGGTATTTATTGTTATTTCGGTGAATATCGTAACTCAAAAGTAATCTACGTGAAAGATTTAGTTATATAACTTTGATGTAAAAACTGACCATTATAGTATAAATGATAAATAACGAAATTTCTTCTATCGTTATGTATTATTATTACTTTTTCATCACATATAACAACTTTTTCTTCATTATCCATTAAATCTATTAATCAATCAAAAGTGGCAAAAATATTTGTTAACATATGTACTAAGCGCTCAATTATGAGAACGACTATATTTTAATTAGTTGTAAAGAAATTTGGATAGAAAATATTTTATAATGTTTATAACTGTATCATTAGACGATCTAGTCACCACCTTTGTCTCTAGAGCAGCCGGAGATAAAATAAAGGATTTGCTTGAAAAATTTAAGGAAATCATGAGAAATGGAAACGAGACTAAAGGTATTCCTAAGCTGGATCCTTTGTCCTGGAATCATAAAGAAATTAGTATAAATGATGAGTTACTCAAGTAAGGATGAAAAATATTCCACGTTTATACTAAGGAAACTAGTTAATTTGATTTTTGTATAGAGCTAAAGGTGAAGTGAACAATCTTTATGTCGAAGGCTTATCGGATTACATCGTTGATTATGCCGAATTCAAATTTGCTAAAATGAACTTGTCAATTGCTTTGACATGGTCACGTATTAAAGGAGATACTTTATATGATATCATAGCCGCAAAAATTATGGACTTTATTCCTATTTTCGGAAAGGGCAATGCAACGTGAGAACATTAAATAATTTCTAAATTATTTTGTAGATACTTTTAAGATTCAAAATCAAAGTTAGTAAGCAGAATAATGAAAATAAATATAATTATTTTAGCCTTGAGGTGGAAAATTTGAAATTTTCAACTAACATCTTGATCAATATCCAAAACAAAAAGCTTTATTTGACACAATTTGTTAATACCAAAATTTCACTTCATAATCTTAAGGTAAGAATGCATTAATGATTTTGATGGAAATTCATCCCTCAACCGCACTGAATTGATTGATATTATTAACTTTTCCAATAGTTGAATGCTCAAGGACTGTACGAAAACGAGGAATTTTCCGAGTTCTTAAGTGCAGTTATTAGTAATATTGCACCAGAAGGCTTGAATGATTTACAAGAAGAAATTGTCACTCGAGTTGACAACATGATGTTGGAGATGGGCAACGAAATACTCAAGAATTTTGATTTCGACGACATTTTGGGAATACTAAAGCCTTAATTTTTATAAAGATAATTTTTGTAAGATAAAGAATAACAATAACATTCTGAGTCACTATTTTTGTTATGTTCATTCTCTTTATAACATAAAAATATGAAGAAAATTTTATTATTTTCAACTCATGATTATCATACTTTATTTGTTTAATTTTACAACAGTGTTTGATTTCAAAAGATAATTTTTTTTGTTGGCTTTCCTATTGATAATATATACTGCTGTTTGTGTGCATGATGGTTTGAAGGTATACTTGCTGACGAAATATGTCAGCACAGTTTTGAAAATGATCAATTAGATATACTCGGGCCACATTTTATCTCTGTGGTCGGGGTTTGCGCTGATGACGTTCAACACGACTGTGGTGAGAACAACAACTACTGCAAGCACGAACTGTAAATAAAAGTGTTGAAAATTAAAAAATATTAAAGGTAGATGAAAAAAGAATCAACACCATAATCAAATAATGTGAGTACAAACATAAAGCTCATGTAAATGGTAACTTCCACTATTATAATATCAGGTATTTTATAACATTCATTTTAATTAAGAGATGTAACAACGTTTATAAAAGTAGTCAGAAGTGATCTAATTCGCTAGAATTAATTTACGAAAAACGTTTGCGAAAAATGACAAAAATAATATATCCTATATTTTTTCATAACTTTGAACTATTACTTTATCATTCTACTTACTTTAAACATGGTGATAAATTATTTTGCGTTTGCACTTCCCACAAAATTATTCAACTAGTCGTTCTGTCGGAACAAGTTCGTAGAACACTGATTGTCGGTTGTGTTACTCATCCTTAAATATTCAACTTTATTTGCTATACGACCACTTGAACAAATAAGCTTTTGTGGTTATCAACTAATAAGAAATATGCGACGAAGTGACGTCTTCGATTTCTCGCTTGTTGTTCAATTCTGACGCTTTTAATTTACCTTTTTACGTATTCAATGATTATCTGAAATTATCCATTGAAATGATAATGTACGTTATAAAAGGTGTATACTAAATGAAATGAATATCCTTAAGAACTATGAATTACACAGGTCTACAAAATTTCGAAAAAATCCGGAAACAGGGATCTATCAAACATAGTGTAACTGAAAGAATCTAGCATGCTAAATTTAAATCCAAGCTCAGAATTATTTCATTATCTTAGGTTTTTGAGATATTCTAACATCAGAATGTAAAGAAATATTGTTTTTCACAGTTTTGGAGCCTTCCTCATACCGTGAATTCTTATTTTATTGCAAATCTAAAAGTGGCATAAGAAAGAGCAAATCTTCAACTTCAAAAAGCATTACTTCATTTTTTAAACTGATTACGGCAGAGATATCGTTCATTGAAAAATGGAAAATTTAGTTTTCAAGTATACACGTAATATATGGGGAAAAAAGTTCGTATATGTTAAGCGCATTTTAATAAATCGCATGATAAATTCAGATTTAGATCAAGAAAATGAAGCTGTGGTCTGCTATTTCATTTTTGGAAAATTTGTTTCGGTAATCACGTGTATACTTGAAACATAAATTTTTTACTTTTTAATGAACGATATCTCGGGTTGTAATAATTATTTTCAAACAATTAAGTGGTACTGCTTTAAGTAGAAGCTTTGCTTTTTTTTGAAGCCATTTCAATTTTTGTAATACAATAGAAATCATGATATGAGAAAACTCAAATTTAAAATATATTTCTCATAGTACAGCATTATAATTATAGGCGAATAGCTATCATTATTAAGTTTAATCATTACTTAATCTTATGTAGATAGTTGAATCAAACGTTTTAATATTTATTATTATTTTGCTTTGAATTAAAAAAGCAATGGTGCTTTTATTAAAAGTAATCAGTTATGAATAAGGGTAAAAAATAGTGACCAAAGAAAAAGTATTAATAAGAATATAAAGAAATAAATAATAAGTCATAATTATTTCACGGGCAGGTTAACGAAAGCACAGTTATTACGATTTATATTTACAATTTGAGCTTGCCCCATGTGCATCTTATGAGATAGACTCTTACAAATACAATGATGAACGCGGATTATTCATGAAATTTTTAATACATTATTTGTTTTACTATAATGTTACTAATGACTGTACAAACGTATAGAGATAAAATATCGCTAATACAATATCAAATACTTGCTACTTCGTCGTATAATAGCACAAAACTTAAAACTTTTTTCAGGCCGTATCGGCAGATACATTTAGAGGCAGAACAACTTTTTGATTCTACATGATAAATACATCGTATGTATTTTATTTCAATCCATTAGAACATATATTCATGGTGTAACAGAATTAGACACACGCGAGAGTACGTGAATTCTTTTCTACTAGTAATTGAAACACGCATTCAGTCGATTAACAATTACAAAGTTTATTCCTCCGAAGAATCGTATTTGAAATATTCCGTTTAGGATTACGAATTTTTAAGACGCAATTAATGTAGACGAAATAATAATGAGTCTCCACGATTATAGACTAAAAATAATGTTAAAATAATTTCATTTGAATGTTTCTTTCTGTTCGCTTGTGATAAATTGGTGAATCACGGATTCATTGCCTAGTGCCAAATAAATCATTTCAATAAAAATTTCGAAAGTAAGTAATTTTCAGTACTACATAGAAAATTGAACAAATTAATACACATCAGCTTTCATATCACAAATAAACTCAATTTAATTAATTTAAAATTAACAAAATAATTTAGCCAATCAAGAAAACTGTCGGCAATCGCTTACGCCAGAACAAATCGACAGTTGTTCAATGAAATTCGAAACATAAATTAAAAGATATTAAGTATAATTAAAAGAGAAGTATTATTAAAATATTCAGTTCTTTCATCCAAATTCGAAAGTTCGCACACGGCGTAATCGCCCGTGTGACAGGCGTCGATTATTATTTCTTAATCGTATTATTATTGCTTCATCATGATCACTTATAACAACATTTTCTTCATTATCCTTTTAACCTATATTAACCTATTAACCGAGCGGAACGTATAAATACGTCCAAAGTAAACAATATCGGGTACGGGTAGGACATATGAATACGTCCTCGATATTTGCGCCCTGGAACGGGCGGGACGTATATTTTACTACTACTATAGTAATACGTCATTCATACACGTCTTAGTGGAAAAGGACGCGCCCGTTATATGTTGCGTAATTAGAAAGGGATTTCCCCGGTTAACAGGTTAATTAATAAATAATGGCAAAAATATTTGTCGACATATATGCTGAGCGATCAATTATGAGAGAGGGACTATATTCTAAATAGTTGTAAAGAAATTTGGATAGAAACATTTTATAATGTTTGTTACTACGTCATTAGACGATCTAGTCACCACCTTTGTTACTAGAGCAGCCGTAGATAAAATAAAGGCTTTGCTCGATAAATTTAAGGAAATCATGAGAAATGGAGACGATACTAAAGGTATTCTTAAGCTGGACCCTTTGACCTGGAATCATCAAGAAATCAGTATAAATGATGAGTTACTCAAGTAAGGATGAAAAATATTCCACGTTTATACTAAGGAAACTAGTTAATTTGATTTTTGTATAGAGCTAAAGGTGAAGTGAACAATCTTTATGTCGAAGGCTTATCGTATTTCATCGTTGATTATGTCGACTTCAATTTGCTAAAATGAACTTGTTGATTGCTTTGACGTGACCACGTATTGAAGGAGATACTTTATATGATATCATAGCCGCAAAAATTATGGACTTTATTCCTATTTCCAGAAAGGGCAATGCAACGTGAAAACATCAAATAATTTCTAAATTATTTTGTAGATATTTTCAAGATTCAAAGTCAAAGTTAGTAAGTAGAATAATAAACACAAATATAATTAATTTAGCCTTGAGGTAGTAAATTACAAATTTTCAACTAACGCTTTATTCAATAGCCAAAACAAACAAGTTCATTTGTAACAATTCGTTAATACCAAAATTCCACTTGATAATCTTAAGGTAAGGATGCATTCATGATTTTTATGGAAATTCATCCGTCAACCGCACTGAATTGATTGATATTATTCACTTTTGCAATAGTTGAATACCAAAGGACTACGAAAACAAGGAATTTTCCGAGTTTATAAGTGCAGTTATTAGTAATATTGCACCAGAAGGCTTGAATGATTTACAAGAAGAAATTGTCACTCGAGTTGACAACATGATGTTGGAGATGGGCAACGAAATGCTCAAAAACTATAACTTTAACGGCATTTTGGGAATACTAAAGCCTTAATTTTTATAAAGATAATTTTTGTAAAATAAAGAATAACTATAACATTCAGAGTCACTATTTTTGTTATGTTTATTCTCTTTATAACATAAAAATATAAAGAAAATTTTATTATTTTCAACTCATAATTATCATACTTTATTTGTTTAATTTTACAACAGTGTTTGATTTCAAAAGATAATTTTTTTTGTTGGCTTTCCTATTGATAATATATACTGCTGTTTGTGTGCATGATGGTTTGAAGGTGTACTTGCTGACGAAATATGTCAGCACAGTTTTGAAAATTATCAATTAGATATACTCGGGCCACATTTTATCTCTGTGGTCGGGGTTTGCGCTGATGACGTTCAACACGACTGTGGTGAGAACAACAACTACTGCAAGCACGAACTGTAAATAAAAGTGTTGAAAATTAAAAAATATTAATGGTACATGAAAAAAGAATCAACAGCATAATCAAATAATGTGAGTACAAACATAAAGCGCATGTAAATGGTAACTTCCACTATTATATCAGGTATTTTATAACATTCATTTTAATTAAGAGATGTAACAACGTTTATAAAAGTAGTCGGAAGTGATCTAATTCGCTAGAATTAATTTACGAAAAACGTTTGCGAAAAATGACAAAAATAATATATCCTATATTTTTTCATAACTTTGAACTATTACTTTATCATTCTGCTTACTTTAAACATGGTGATAAATTATTTTGCGTTTGCACTTCCCACAAAATTATTCAACTAGTCGTTCTGTCGGAACAAGTTCGTAGAACACTGATTGACGGTTGTGTTACTCATCCTTATATATTCAAGTTTTTTTGCTATACGACCACTTGAACAAATAAGCTTTTGTGGTTATCAACTAATAAGAAATATGCGACGAAGTGACGTCTTCGTTTTCTCGCTTGTTGTTCAATTCTGACGCTTTTAATTTACCTTTTTACGTATTCAATGATTATCTGAAATTATCCATTGAAATGATAATGTACGTTATAAAAGGTGTATACTAAATGAAATGAATATCCTTAAGAACTATGAATTACACAGGTCTACAAAATTTCGAAAAAATCCGGAAACAGGGATCTATCAAACATAGTGTAACTGAAAGAATCTAGCATGCTAAATTTAAATCTAGGCTCAGAATTATTTCATTATATTAGGTTTTTGAGATATTCTAACATTAGAATGTAAAGAAATATTGTTTTTCACAGTTTTGGAGCCTTCCTTATACCGTGAATTCTTATTTTATTGCAAATCTAGAAGTGGCATCAGAAAGAGCAAATCTTCAACTTCAAAAAGCATTACTTCATTTTTTAAACTGATTACGGCAGAGATATCGTTCATTGAAAAATGGAAAATTTAGTTTTCAAATATACACGTAATATATGGGGAAGAAAGTTCGTATATGTTAAGCGCATTTTAATAAATCGCATGATAAATTCAGATTTAGATCAAGAAAATGAAGCTGTGGTCTGCTATTTCATTTTTGGAAAATTTGTTTCGGTAATCACGTGTATACTTGAAACATAAATTTTTTACTTTTTAATGAACGATATCTCGGGTTGTAATAATTATTTTCAAACAATTAAGTGGTACTGCTTTAAGTAGAAGCTTTGCTTTTTTTTGAAGCCATTTCAATTTTTGTAATACAATAGAAATCATGATATGAGAAAACTCAAATTTAAAATATATTTCTCATAGTACAGCATTATAATTATAGGCGAATAGCTATCATTATTAAGTTTAATCATTACTTAATCTTATGTAGATAGTTGAATCAAACGTTTTAATATTTATTATTATTTTGCTTTGAATTAAAAAAGCAATGGTGCTTTTATTAAAAGTAATCAGTTATGAATAAGGGTAAAAAGTAGTGACCAAAGAAAAAGTATTAATAAGAATATAAAGAAAAGAAATAATAAGTCATAATTATTTCACGGGCAGGTTAACGAAAGCACATTTATTACGATTTATATTTACAATTTGAGCTTGCCCCATCTGCATCTTATGAGATAGACTCTTACAAATACAATGATGAACGCGGATTATTAATGAAATTTTTAATACATTATTTGTTTTACTATAATGTTACTAATGACTGTACAAACGTATAGAGATAAAATATCGCTAATACAATATCAAATACTTGCTACTTCGTCGTATAATAGCACAAAACTTAAAACTTTTTTCAGGCCGTATCGGCAGATACATTTAGAGGCAGAACAACTTTTTGATTCTACATGATAAATACATCGTATGTATTTTATTTCAATCCATTAGGACATATATTCATGGTGTAACAGAATTAGTCACACGCGAGAGTACGTGAATTCTTTTCTACTAGTAATTGAAACACGCATTCAGTCGATTAACAATTACAAAGTTTATTCCTCCGAAGAATCGTATTTGAAATATTCCGTTTAGAATTACGCATTTTTAAGACGCAATTAATGTAGACGAAATAATAATGAGTCTCCACGATTATAGACTAAAATTAATGTTAGAATAATTTTAATTGAATGTTTCTTTCTGTTCGCTTGTGATAAATTGATGAATCACGGATTCATTGTCTCGTGCCAAATAAATCATTTCAATAAAAATTTCGAAAGTCAGTATTTTTCAGTATTCCATATAAATCTCAACATAATAATGTAAATCAGCTTTCATATCACCAATAAACTCAATTTAAGTAATTTAAAATTAACAAAATAATTTAACCAAGTAAGTAAACTGTCGGCAATCGCTATCACCGGAACAAATCAACAGATGTGCTATGAAATTCGAGAGATAAATTAAAAGAAGTCTTATTAAAATATCCAGTTTTACCCACCAAATCCGAAAGTTCGCACATTGCGTAATCGCCGTGTCAGGCGTCGATAACGTAGAAAAAAAATCGCAAATCACAATAAGACTCTTACTAAATCATTGTCATACATATACATTTGGTATTACTTTCTACGCTCGGTATTATTTTGGATAGTCGTGTGAAAATTCAACACGATGAATTATCGATCGACGTTAAAATTTCTTTTGCCGCGCGCGCCCTACATGGCGCTACCAAGTAGACAACTCGCGCGCGCGAACGAAAGATCGTTTTACATGATAGTTTACGTGTACATCTTGAGTATTGTAATAATTTAATTTATTTTCCCTAACTAGTGGCTTGTTCTGGCGTCTTATTACGCGCGAGATTCCATTAATGTAGAGTGATGAGTTTCGTTTGAGCATCGCGACGTGATATACATATATTCAGCACGTGCTCGTTTGAGTTTGTCGAGACTATCTTGATTGAATTCGAAGATCTCGATTTTTAATGACAATCGTCAAATATTATTCAACGTTGATTCAGAACTCGCAAAAAATAGTTAATTTGAATTTATCGGGAAATTCCACTCTAACTCGATACCCGCTGTGTCAAGACAGTTACCGCGGCGAGGAGAAACAACATTTAAGGTTTGATTTTGTTCTCTCGATAGCTGCTTACTTGTATAGTTGTAGAGCGTGATAGATGTACAATAATGAATGTATAATTAGCAAAGGCTTCGTTACTCACATATAAATATTGTCGGGCGTGAACACTAAGTAAAACAAAATATTGTCCGTCGATGAGTAAAAGATAATGATATTGTTAACTTGTATTTTTAATCCTCTCAAGAAGTTTAAAAGAACCATGGACAAAACAAATAATACATCTCGCGACGACTCTATTATGTATTTACATATGTAACGACCGAATGACAAAGTTGGCGTAGGTACGACGAAGCTTGTGAGTGAATTGATGAGGGGGTGGAAGCTGCTGGTAATAATAAGCGACATGACTAGTAATCGCTTGAGCGCCAACAGTGTGCGTACGTGTACTACGCTAAGTTTTCGTACACATGCACGCGAGCAGCGCATTAATAGAATACGAGCTGGATGTGAATGCGGAATCGAAGGTTGAGGCATGGAATCAGGAGGAGGAGCTTTCACGTCCAGTAGTCGCTCGATAGGGGCGCGTACGGGCCGTGGGGGTAGGGTGGCGCGGAAGATGCGTCGACGAGGGATTGCGACGGCGTCGCCGTCGTCCAGTCCTTGTAGGTGGCGGCCGTGTGAGCGTGATGCGCCGCCACGCCCGGGTGCGAGCTTGGATGTGCGCTCAAACTGCGATTCAGAAGTAAGCTGTTGTAGCTTGCTGCTGCCGCCATGTTGTGGTGGTGGTGATGGTACTCGTGCATCGCCCTTTATCGGACATGACAGGACAATCAAACGATTGCTCGAAAGTTGGCAAGGTGACGTCAAGTATCGCATGAACAATTGGCTTACCGAGGATAATGTTGAGTATAATGCCAAGGATCTGCGTAATCGTACACGTCGGGGTGGCTTTTCCAAAACGATGGCGGGAAGTTTCTCGTGTTCATGGGATTACTATTGTCTGAAAAATAACGAATAATTAAGTCGCACTTGAATTGTGAAAAAGGCTAGCGTCTGATGGACATCATGTAATCTCGTATCTTGATGGAAATTCAACCGACCTTTCAATTTGTCTTGAGCTAACGCTCGTTGGAAGTGTTCCTCGACTTCCGACGCTGCGTCGCCTCGGTAATGAGTAAAAACTACGCAATTCGCACTAACGTATTGAGCTCTACTTTCGCTGTCGTCTGAATCGTCCGCGCCAGCGTTGCCGCCGATCGCTGAAATGTAAAAAAATAACTTTTTACATTTAAGAATGACGGTCATAGCAATAAACAAAGGCATGAACTGAAGTACATATATAAAAACGCGAGCTTCTCTTTTTTCGAACTGATAATTTGACGCGTACAAAAAAGGAGAGAGGGTCGGATGTCATGGCCGTATCCGAAGAGCCGTGTCGAAATTGATTTTCCAACGCTTTTATGCCACTGACAAGAGAGAGAAAGAGGTGGGGTGGCGGAGGGCGAGGGAAGGGGGCGCTAAAGTCATTTTGCAGGTGCACGTCAGCTCGAAATTAATCATGCGATGCTTGTGTGCTTTGCTATTATACGAGGGTAGCGCCCGCGCAGTCGACGCTCGAGAGCGCATATTCATTACCCCGTGTACCAGTGACATTAATTATTTACTCTTAAATCTTTGGCTTATTGCTTTTCATGATCATTCAAATTTATCGTGGGTGCATTTTTGGATTGAAGCCTTGAATTGAACAAGGCAATAGCAATGACTAACATGCAAATGCATACATTCAAAAGCTCTGATGGATTATAAAAATTCCTTTTCAAATATGATCTGTAAAAACGTAAATCATGTAGCTTGACATTACTTTTGTTGTACTTATAAAGTAATCAGAAGTTACTTTTCGGAATATTCGAGATTATTGCTGCGTAATTTACTTGTTCGGTTATAAAAGGAAAAAATTGTGGAAATTTAAAAAAAACATTCGGTAACATGTAAATGATTGATCTGTGTATACTACGTCTTTGTATATTTTACTATTAATTGACACGCCCACAAAAGATGAAAGTACATATTGATATATTATTTCACAGTGTTATCTAACTTATTCAATATATGATCGAGAAAAAGCATAATAAATGGTGCCAGAGAAAGATATAAAAATATGAAAGAGAAAAAACTATATTTTCAAATTAAATCTAGCCTGAAGAAAGAAACATTAGCTTACCATCGGTGGACCTATCATCATCAAGGTTCCGTGACGACTGTGCGGATGTGGTAAGTGGCGGTCGATGCTGTGGTGCGGCAGGTCTTGGTGAAGCAGGACTAGGTGCCGAACCTATGGATCCTGCGCTACTTGACTGACCCTGAGGAACAACTCCGGTTGTTGCTGCAGCTGCCGCTGCTGCACTTGACGCTGCTGTGGCTCCGCCGACGGCTGGACTGGCACCGCATAACTCCAAACCCGATGTCTCCAGTCGCTGGTTGACATTGATCTGTAATTTCAAAATTAATTTTTTGCACATCTGATGAGGATCTTTAGTTGTTTAAATCGTTACAATTGTTCATTATGAATTCTATGGCTAACAGGTTGTTCGAAGCATCAACTTAAAAAATTTCCTTCTTTATAAAATTAAAATTAATTAATTTCTGTAGGGATACATTTGCATAGAAAAAAATTCGAAGTTTAACAACAAATCATTGTTCCATTCATCCTTTTGAAAATATGCGTCGTCGTGTTGATACATCAAAATTTCAGTCGTGTTTAATATGAAGTTGCTTTCACATTATATTTGCGAGGATTATACAGCATATATTTTCGCTATGTTCACGTAATTGAAGCGGGAGTTTTAACGAAGTTAACATTTACAGTAAACAAAAAACGTAACATAAAACAAGCCAACTACTTTTGTTTTATTCTCAATAACAGAAAAACAAGAAAGTAAATAGGAAATGGTTATGTCGTGAAAAAGTCTATTATTGTAAATCCGCGCAAGTTTCGAAGCATTACAATCACGAAAATAAAAGCAAGAAAGAAAAGAAAACCTCGATAAAGAAATAAACTAAATAATAGGGACATTTTTCGTCGGGCTAACCAGCATCGGCTCGTTAATTGATCTGTATGCCACGATACATTAGAATGTGTGTTGGCGGGCGAAAAGCCGCGCGCAAGCGGCAGTTTATTCTAATTAAACGCGCATACTCGCAATACCCCCACGAGGACTATCTATCACAAACAATTACAAACTTTCGACGTGTCTCCCACTTCATTACATAAATTATCGCGGAGAGGAATCGGTGCAACGAAATAACACGACGCTGCACTTTTGACCCACGCTGAACTCTCAAGAGAGGCAACGCAACTTTTTCTTTCTATGCATCGATTGAACTTTCACCGACAAATAATTTAATTTGCAGTAGGACTGAGGCAGTTCGATTATATGAACATGTGCCTAGGTTGTAAATAACCGTCCGCTAAAATTTCCGAAGATTCATCTTTCACTGGAGTTTTAACTTTTGCGTACGTATACATATACTTGCGTGCAAATATATCAAAGGTCTCCCTCTCCCTTCTCTCTCTCTCTCTCTCTCTCTCTCTCGGGTCGGCATCATTCCCCTCATATATATGCGCGACAACTCACCCTCTTGTGAGGGTATATATGCCTGTCGTAAAATGGCGTATAGAGGCCGAGGGCGAGCTGCATCACCGCTATTTAATACGACGAAAAAAAATTCTTTTTACGACCAAATTTTACGCAATTTACCATATTATCATTTATTATTCAATATAATAAATGACTGAAAAGTTTGTTTAAAAAAGTTAATGTTATCCTTTTTTTTAGAGGAAGCAAAATAAACAAAAAAATAAATAAATAAATTTTGTCAAAGCGTTATTCATGAAAAACAAGAAATGAAAAAAAGCACGATTACGTGAAAGCGAGGATATCATCAAAGACGATCAAAGTTCTGCAATTCGTATGCTCAATCGACTTAACATGTACTATTTAAAAATAGAACTAGGCGACCGTATTGAATTGTTTCAAATCAATTGATCCTTCAATTGAAAATGAATTGTTTCACAAGCCTACTATTCAAATAACCAAATACGAATAAATTCTGTTGTATCAAGATATTATATATAAATAAAAAACGAAAGAGCTCGAGGACCATTGGAGCGCCGAGGGAATAGGCGCCGAAAAAGCTCTCTAGTGAATCCATCCGGGAAAATTGCTGAGATTCCCGAGGCTTATTTACTCCTTTCCAATCACGAACCGAGGCGCGACTGGCTGGTATGCTCGAAATGAAACAAGCCGTTACGAGACGTGCTTTAAGAATAACATCAGCAGCCCGTAGAGTGAGAGAGAGAGATGCGCCAACTTTAGGTTTAGTGTGCAACGCCCCTGCGATGGATGGCTTAGCAAAGAAAAACAGAGACCTTTGACCCCATCGTATGATATATATTGCATTTTGCAAGCTCACAGGTTTATCCTTCTAGAATGAAACTTTGAGCGAATTAGCGTAGAAACAAAAGTCGAAATTTAAGGCGCTACTTTTCAACTATTTGCAAACATTTGTTACGGTCAAACTGTATATATTTACCGAAAGTTATTTAAGGCATACGTGTCTTTTACATACTTTAAGAACCATGTGTTAACATTTAAGAAGAAGCAACTATGTATATTAGAAAAATTGCGTCACGTCAGCTCCTAAAATTTTATTCTTGAGATCAATTATGTGTAAAGAGTCGCTCAACAAGCTTTACAGATGAAATTTGTATGCATACAGTATTTGAATATTGAATGGGTCTGTTAATACGTATCTGATTAAATGAATATAGATATTCATGGAATATAAATTTCTGGAAAGTTTTGCTTGTGGAACATTATAATATTTGTAATATATACGAAAGGACTGTTGAACATGGAAAAGTATACTGTAAACTTGAGCGAACAGGAGAGAAAGAAGCAAATATCAATTCCACTGCAGCTCTCGTGAATAATGCACCTCTGAACTAATCTCTTTTCCAGCTAATTACGATAAAAGCAACGGACAATTGTAGAGATAAGGATCGAGAGAAGAATCATCACATATCCTCCGCGGCGTACTCGGAAACACGCCCATCGCATTTGCACGCGTCATAACGGAAGCTCGAAGCACGACGATGCATGCATAGCTGATTGTGTGGCCACGAGTCGTTCGTGCTTTGCGCGTTGCCTGCATGCGTATCACAAATTGCATGGTCCTCTCTCTCTCTCTCTCTCTCTCTCTCACCGAAATCGCAAATAGAACAACGCCGGTAATGCGCAAATGCTTTGGCGGGTCAGCACGACGCAGCAAAGGCATTCCCAAACGTACGCCGTGCCCTCGGCGCGAGCATGTACGTGCAAGGGATGAGCACGCGGTATAGGCGAGGATTAAGAAGCGAGATAAACGGACCTATTGTCTATGTGTGTAAGTGCACCTGATTTATTGCATGTGAAGGAGATTCAAGGTGCTGCGAGCGGATCGTAATCGGTTGTATTCGCGTCTTTTACCTTTTAACGCCGACGTACGCGCGAGATAGGTTAAAACTGAGTTACCCCGCGTATCGCGCAGTTATAATATTAAATGCTAGACCCTCGACAAGATCATTTATATTTTCCTCCGTGAGCGGGGCTTACTCATTTGTATACGCACCTGAAGGGAAAACCACACCAACATTTAATATAAGATACAGTGATTATGTATATATACTATTTATTTTTCAAGTTCAAAGAGCGTGCTGCTCCATGATTATTTTAATGGCGTGGTCTATACCAGAAAGAGAGAAATATTTTTTTCTGTAGCTGTAATGGGACCATATGTTTACTGATGTACCTTTAGGGAGCGCCTTTATAAATGTCCAGTGTACAGGAGTGAAAATATTAGTCAGCATACGATTTTACACATGCGCAAGCGTCATTAAATAAAACAGTCTTGGGGAACTACTCGTAGATTTTTTATTTTTCATCGTGACGAATAGGTCGTTCAAACGCTTAATCTGATGAAATATTACAGAACGGCGCTCGATCGATCCGCGTTCTACAATACAATTCTACAGATAAGTCAATATCGATTACTTTCTTTTCGACTTTGGACTGAAGTTAATAATGAAATACCTGCGATGGACAACGCGTATCTTTCAACGAAAACATAACAGAAATTCAGTTGTAACGTTAAAAAAAACGTCTCTCGATCTAATACAAGAATAATTCAAATGATAAAGTAGCCCGAAACGATGCATTTCTTACACGGAAGTTTGATTAATTTATCATCAGCGATAGCGAAGCAGCGCGCGTTTCTCTGTGTATCTAACGAAGAGGATGGAAAAAGAATATATAAACTTTACCGCGCTCCGCAGGGAAATTCATTACGGCACATTAGCACGCATTTTTGCTTAATTTCCCAAAGAGCGTCTATATACTAAAGAGATATATCACCGTTGATCGCACACGACGATTATGCATATGGGTATACTCCATCGAGCATTAATTATATCCTCGTGGAGTCTGCTGTATATGCGAAATGTAAACGTACGATATTAGACGTGGCAATGCAGCTGTGTTGACTAGCACGCATGAGTGCGCAAAACCTTAGCCAGTGTAATTAATTACTTTTTCAAACTCATCGAATAGTCGAAATATCAGGATGCGTAACGCTGAAATTGAACATCAAGTATCATCTGGCAGCACATTTTTCAACGAACATCTTTAATTTACGACTTGCCTCATTCGCGGGCGCAATCGAGCATCGATCAGTGTGTACTCGCGAGAACGAAAAAGAACGACGATAGATATTTAAAGATCTCGCTGAGGTGCGTACGCGTAGATAATTCAATTGAGCACATAAGCGTCTCTCGAAAGTATAATCTGGCGGCTAAAATCAACAAGCCACTAACGCGGCCGCTGCAATTTCCAGATTTTAAAGCACGATCTTCCTCAGCCGTCCTTGGGACGCGCGGCTTATCGTTATCGTTGGAAATCGATTGCCGCTCTTTCTCTCTTGCCAGAGTGCAGATTAAATCGCGAAGAGTTAGTTACCGGCGCGGTGAGCGGCGGCGGCACGACAATGTGGTAATTAATCGAGAGACGTGCACAGCTCTTCTCCCTCCCCTTTTCTCTTTTTTCCTCGCTGAATATTTCTATCGTCCCCCCCCCCCCCTCTCATTCCGCTTGCTCGCTTTTTTTCTCTCTCTCTCACTCGGTTTCCCTCTCTCTCTCTCTCTCTCTCTCTCTCTCTTTGGTCCAAAGAGTCTATAGCGGCCTCTCAAAGCATTCCACCGTACCAAGAGATTGTTCTTCGTTCTCCCTCTTTCTCTCTCTGGCAACGCATGTGAGAACGACCCGCGAAAGAGAGAGAGTCAAGCCAAAGGAGCTACACACACTCACACATACGTACCCACACTCAGGTACTGTATATATACCTACACGATGACACAAGATCGCGAATTCGGTAGCTGCGCCCTTCTCAGAAGTCA